GTGTTATAACAGAAGTATCCTTGAATTTTTTCATCAAAATTAACCCGGCCATAAGGTTCAAAATCACGCTTTTACGCTGTTTTTTCTAGTTTTTTCGCATTTTTTGTGCTTATTTCTATTCGAAAAAATTTGAAAATATTTTTACTAGAAAGCTGAGAAAAAAATTGATTTTTTATGTATTTTTAAAATAATTTTTCCCCCACCAGTAAGTTGAGAGTGAATAAAATCGATAAATCGTTCATCTGTCTCGTACCTAGACTCCTATTATTATTAAAAATCTGGAAAAAATCTTAAAAATCCCCAAAAAAATATAGCAACCAAGGAAAAACAACCTTAAATGAATTTGCAGACATGATGAAAATAGGTGGCCCACTTGACGAAGAATCCTTCCAATGGAAATACAAGACATTAACAATTAATAACATGAAAAAAACTCGACGTCTGTGCACACAATTAAATTTAAACTTAAATATTCATTTACTTGAGAGAAGCATTAATTTTTTTTAAAATTGTATTTTCGCAATGGAGTTATTCCCGAGCGAGTCTGATTAGGTTTCAATTATCACAATAATGTTGCTCTAAAGGACGACTATATTGCACATGATCTTGGATGAACTCCTCCAATGATTATTCATTTTTCCTAAATTTCTTAGTTTCTAGAGGGAAGAATTTTGATTAATTTTTTAATGTTGATAATTATTGAGGGAGTTTGCTCAGTCATAACTAATATGATACGTTTAGAGAAATACGATATTGAAGAAATAAATACTTCTTTCAAGTAAATAGATATTTGGCAAAAATATATTTTTTTCTTAGTGCATCATTAGGGTCACAGATGAAGGTCAGAATCAGGGGCGTCTCCTGAATTTTTAAATCTCTTCATTTTTTTTATTATATAATGAGATAACTTTAATTATCAATTCCAACCAATTTCATCAAGAAAACATTTATTAATCATCACTCTACTCACTAATCCCCAGTCATCAACATATGTACACTCTTGTCCGATCCAATCATTTTACCAGCCCTCTCAGTCCCAACAATCCCCGCCAGCTGCATGGCATCATACTTGCAATACAGAACCGTAACTGTCATATTATTCTCAGTCCCAGCTTTAGGATTCTGATTAGCCTCATGCATTAAATTACACATCTCTGAGTAAAACCTTGGAAACGTCGGAGGAGCGAAGAAAATGAGATGCCTGATCCCCTTCACCCTGATCCTCCTAAAGAAGTGAAACCTTTCAGAATAAATCAAAAAGTTGGCGTCACTATGAAAAAACATGTCCCTCGCCCTCGCCACTTTGCCGTCCTTCGTGTATTCACAAATCTGCACAAAGCTCATTTCCTCTTTCTTAAAATAATTCCTAAGCTTCACAAAATCAAAGTAAGAAGGCACGAATATCATCGTATGATTCATGATACTGTCCTTGTACTCCGGCAGAATCTTTGATAAGAAGAACTCCATTCGTCCCTCTATGGCTTGCGCATAGCTAGAAGCCTTAAACTTGTGGAAAACCTGGGGCAACTGCACCACAACCTGACAAACAGTTCCAGGAACACAAGGATTTACCACCTTAACTTTGCCGGCGTAGTTCTGACACTTTTTATTGAACACCGCGTGTATCTCAGGCAACTGAAGACTAGAAAAAATGAGAGTCTGCCTGTAATACTTTGACCATCCATTGACACACCAGCTCCTGACCCTCGAAAAATCTGTATCGTGTGGCTTCTTCGGCTGCAGATGGAGATGATCGAGAACATGAAGCAAGTGGTCCCAATTCTGCATGAAGAACAGCTCAGTCTGGTCCATTATCAACAGCTCAATCGACGCCAGGAAATCGTAATCCCGTTCTTCCTCGCCTTCAGCTCCCACCACCATCCTCAGCCCCAAAACCGAAGAGATTATGATGTCTGAGGAGTAAAAGTCCGAGTACAATTTCAACGTCTTTTTCGTTACTGAAATTCCAATCTTGAAAGTGTCGTCAGTGTTTCCTCTGAAGGTCTGTTCATAGTCCTCAGGTTTCGGGTTATTTTTAGGCATGATTATCTCGCTTCCTCCGAAATCCTCGAGGAAGCGCTTCTTGTTCATCACTGATCCTCCTTTTTCCTCTCCGATCAAAATAGAGATAAGGACCTCGACGATCTTGAGGCAGGAGTGCCTGAAAGGGACGATTATCAAGATCTTGGGACGAACTAAACCCTGATCTCGATATTCGTCAGGTACTTCGCCCATTGATGACTTGTTAGACTTGGAGAGCTTTGCGTTGTGGTGCAGGATTTTGGTCCTCGTCTTTAGAAGGTGATTTACTACGTGGAGACAGTATACGAATCTTATCTCGTTTTCGTTTGAGAAGGTCCTCGCGGGGTACATCAAATCCTGGTAGTTGTTTATTATGGAGAATAGTTCTTTTTGGAGAGGGGTTAGTGCACTAGGATTCGAGTCTAGGTTGTCTTTTATGTTGAGGTAGTTGGCTCTTGTGAGGTTGTTCTGGATCTGGGATTTGATGTAGAGCTTCGTCCAGTCGATTTTGGAGATTATTGAGGGAATGGAGCCGGGTATTGCAAAGTGTTTAGCTTCTAGAATTTTCGAGGTCTTGGACTTTGATGGATAGTTGGGGATCTTGGGGATTTGGGAGACGAGTCTCCCCAGGATCGGCCAGGTTATCGTTTGGCTCTCGGGAGCAGTTTGAGAGGAGAGGATTTCGTGAAGTTCGTCTGACAGATCGTGATTCAGGTGGAGGGAAAAGGGATCTTTTATTATTCCCTGGTCTTCACGGGAGGTTTCTTCATCTTCTTCGTCTTCTTCTTTTGTTTGAATTTCAATTATCGCATCCTCATCCCCATTTCCTCCTTCATTTTCACTTTTTCCTGCATCTTCTACTTCTTGTTGAATTTTTTCATTTTTTATCTCTACATCTGAAGAATTTTCAGCTTCGGAATTCAATTCTTCTTCAATTCCTTCATCGATTATCTGTTCATGTTCATCATCATCGTCGTCTTGTTCCTCACTCTCAGATTCAGACTCAATAGCTATTCTACTCTTTTTCTGAGAACTATTAGAAAACGTAGAGAGGAGAGTCCTCATGGAGTCCTCTTCCTCCTCTTCTTCTGAAGATTCATACTCATGTCGGCGTTTCTTCGTCTCTTGTTCTGCTAGTATTCTTCTTCTATTTTCTATCTCAGCGTTCTTTGCATCTCGATCTTTAACATACGAAGCCTCTCGCAAATTGAATTTCCCCTTTTTCTGTTTTGGTTTTGGTTTCTGAAATTTTGAGTTGCGATGAGCTTGTTTGCCTCCACGAATTGGTCGCTTACCTCTCGCCATTTTGCTCACATTACCTGAAATTATGATTTTCGTAAGGATTTCAATCGAATAATCACTTTTGATGAAAACCAAGCAATGCGATAGATGCGATTTGACAGATTACATATGACTGCTACTCTCCACGTATTTTTTTTTTTCCTATTTTCATTTCTACCAATTTAATGGATAATAGGTTTCCGAATGGATCCCAATGTATATATTTTCAAAAAATAAAACCATATATTCATGTTATATGGCTTTCTCAGTTATCCTGATGTGAAAATGAACGGTGAAATATGGATGAGTTAATTTTCTTTTCTCAAGAATTTTGGGTGAAATGTTCCACCTCAAGAACTATCAAATATATCGACCTAAAATTTGATATAGGAATGTTCCTTGATAATCCTAACTAGAAGCCAAAGTTTCAAAAAGTTTCCCTGACGTTTACCCATGTCATAGTGTGCAAAAGTGAATTCCGACCAAAAAAATACAAAAACGAGGATATCTTAAAAAATTTCAATGGAAGGGTACTTTTATTTTGTTGGATCTATATAGACATCAAAACGCACATTTTGAAGAAAAGATAATTGAAATCGGACCAATAGTTTTTAAGATATTGAGCAAAAGAGTTTAACATACAAAAGTGAATATCTCCGAAACTACTGGTCCGATTTCGTTCATCCAAAATCCCTAACTTTGTTACCATAAAACCAAAATCATACCAAGTTTCAAGTTTCTATCTCGATTATTTTTTAAGTTATCGGGCGAACTAGCAATTTCAACGAAAAAATGAAAAAACGAGAATGAAATTACATTGCTCAGGGTGTAATGGTCTTTTTTCAATCCAATTGAATAGGTATCATGATGACGAGTATTTTGAAACAAAAATCGAATTGGTCGAATGGTTCGGGAGATATCGGCAAAAAAATATTTTCGATGAATCGCGATATCTCAGGAACCGCTCAACCGATCGAGCTGAACTTTAGCATAAATTTGAGTCTCAGTAGTAGCAATTAATAGCCAGAATTTCAGCATCTTTGCCTCAATAATTCTCGAGTTATGGGGACAGTTTTGGAAACACGAACACACATGTACATACACATACAGACATTTTGTAAAAGCATCATTTCTTCACGTTTCATGACATTTCTAGGCATTTTCCCACCCAAAATTCAGAAATCGAAAAAAATCACGATTACAAAGCTTCCATTCGGAAGCAAAAAATGAATCAATTGTTAATTTGTCAATAGAACTGATATTTTACGTATTTACATGCATCCTTTAATGATTATTGTTAATTATAATCATCGCTACGGGTCTGATAACCATTTGGTACGAATTGAAATTGGAATAATAATTATGATAATACCCACGTGCTTTTGTTGTCACTCAAAGAAGGTACTTTCCATCAACTACTTCAAAGTCGAATAACAAATTGCCAATAATTATTAGAACTCTTTTGGGCTCTGAATAAGGAATTTCACTCATCCATCGACTTTGAATAATTATTCACGTTTTAAATTACGAATTAAGGCCAATTACAGACAAGGCGACGTGTACAATTGGTACAGTAATGAGAGGTTATGTGTGATTGGAATGTTGACACAGCGCCAGTAATTGGCTGTTCCCATTACCTTTTCCGCTCCGTTCAAATCTAATAATTCTATCATTCAATCAAGAAAATATAATTATTCGCTACTATTTACAATTCCCTAACTAATTAACAATTAGCCTCTGAATGCATAAAATCTTTGCCCAAAATATTGTTTTGAGGGCTTCAGATCATAAATAAATATTTATTTCAATTGTGAAAATATATACGTTTATTCGATATTTTTCGTAGATCAACCAAGAGCAGGATATTGAAATGGAATAAATTAATACTGCCTTATATTCAACAGTCATTAGACAATAGTCGTCAACTCCCCTTTGCAATGTATCTATACAAAATCTTCGTTTTGTAAGTTCCTAGGGATGCGGCAAAAGCTATAATATATTGAGATATACTATGGGAAGGGAATGTAAAAGGCCTTAAAGCTCATACTATTTTGCAATAAAATTATTATTATTACGGCCTTATTTAATCTATTAACGACTAATTAATCAAATATAAAATCCCTATCACCTCCGCAAACAGATATGACTCTATTCCGTATGCGATTGAGCGATAATGACGTACCGTTTATTGAACTCGTGACGTTATTGTACATCATAAAAATATTTTTTCCTGTAGTTACGAGATAAGAACTGATGCAGAATTCTGCTGAATTTCAATGCACATAAAAAGCATTGAGTGCGAGCGAGATGAGTCTTCCTCGAATTGATTCTCATTCGCCAGATTCCAATCGAAAAAACGAACATTTTTTTTGCATTCGTCATTTGCATGAAACACAATAAACATTAACGATGAATTATTCTCGATTTTCGTCATGCAAACCGCGGAAAAGTGGTGCTGAATTGAAATACCACATTACCACAAATAAAACCTTGGAAAAACGTCATTAGATTCTGTGGAGCGGGGAAGTATTGCGAAATGCATGCCGGAAGTAGGAAGGAGACAAACGAGATTAATTAACCCTTCTGTTGGCTTGTGTTTATCTACGAGCACCAGTTCATTTTCAATGGTTTACTGTGGTGAAACATTACCGAAGGTTTGTTCTACTGTTACGACACCGTGATAATCTATGTAATCATATTTTTGGAAATAATTGAGTGGAGGGATCTTGTTGTAAATTATGTGATTAGAATTTCCATCCATATAAATCACGACCAAAGAACTTGTCTGAATAGATATCAACCAAGTAATTCCAAATTTATTGCATTAAGAAATCACAAAAATGATGTTCTTCAGACCAAAGTTTCAGTGGATCCAAATGATTCCTTCACTTAATCTTCAAATCTGTAAAGGCATGATTACGATTCCTTTAGCGCCACGATTTAAAATATGTTTTCCGTACCATTTTTTCGCAGGATTACGGGAAAAATAATGAAAAAATTCGACTATAGGGGAGGTTGGAGTAAAACGGACACTTTTGACTTTTTTTAAATGTCAATGAGGGGTTGAAACGTTAATGAAATTCAATAATTTTCTTTTCAATACAAAGAACAATTCTTTCCCTTTGAGACAAGCCTAAACTGAGCTCAATTGATAAATTTGTTTCTGAGTTGTGAATAATTTTTAAAAAAGTCTCAAGTGTCTATTTTACCCCACCCTCCCCTACTAATTGTTTTCTATGAGCATTTTTATTTGCGTTGCAGTGATGTATATATATGTATATATTCTTTATTTTTTACCTATGATACCTCCGGCCATAAGACAGCTAAATCTCTCTTTTCATCATTATGTTTTATTGCAAACGTGCACCTCAAATTGTATCAAATGTATCAATCACGGAAAATGTATTTCAACGGTATAAGGTGTAAAACCTATAGTGGAAATGAATCATTATCATTATCATCATCATGAAAAAATTCTATCTCAATAATTTATTTAGATATTTCAATTTTCAATTTTTCAATTTACACGAAAAAGATCACGAGACAGGGTCACAAAGAGACGAGTCGCAAGGATCACAAGAAATCAGAAAAGTAAAAAAAAGAGACAGAAGGGTTGTTGGGGTCACGGGGGGTTATTGAGGCCAATGATGTCGCTTTTTTTCCATATTCGTTTTTCCCGAATTTTTTTTTCCCGGCGTCATTTCTTCACCGGTAGTTTTTGCCAATAGCTATTTTTTCTGACAGCCAAACGTTGATATCCTGGAAAATTAATTGAGGGGGAAAATTAATTGAGAGGGATATTTTCCATTATTTATCCAGTATTCCTGGGGAAAAATGGTATGGAAAATACATGTGAATTCGTGGCGCCAAAGGAATCATAATCTTCCCTCAATAAATTTTGACAAATAAAAAAGAACTACCTTACCAAACTTGAAAAAAAAAACACTCATAAAATCCCCCCCAAACACCCCTCTGCGCGCGCACCCGCCTCTCCGCCAGATCCCAGCACATCCGACTTTCCACACACAAAATTTATACACACTGCAAATAAAAAAAAACCCTATCCCTGTGTTGCATCCTCTCAGTTAAGGTATGATATAGGGAGGTATTCTAAATGTTTGATCTCGCCGACACCAAAACAGGGGACAAGTAAGTCTGGCCGCCGCACGCGGCGCTGTTAAGGCTCTTCCCCTCACGCGACACAGACCTCCTACCCCTCGTCAATTCCTTGGCGTCGAGAGTTCAAATTCCAGCCAGGTCAGTTTTTTTTTTATTCTTGTAGATAGATAGAGTTAATTAGAATTTGATAATAAATGATGGAGAATACGGCAAAATGAATTCGTGAGGCAAACGACAGTCTTGGTTAAATTTCGGTTCCACAGACATTTAAATGGATTCTATGGTATAGATCGAATAAATGTCAACAATAAATGTAAAATAAGGGTTAAACGGATTTATGTCAATCAAAAAAAGTGAAATATGGGTCAAATGAATGAAGGTTGGGCAAATAAGAGTAAAATAACTGTCAAACGAATAAATACTAAACGAATGTGGGCAAAACGAGAGTGGAAGTGATAAGACTAAAATGATAGCAACCAATAAGGCTCAAATAAGGGTCAGCTAATAAGAGTCAAGCATTTTCTTGGGTGCTAGAAAATACCAATGACAAGATGTGAATACAAGAAGCAGTGAGCTTCATCAAAGTTTTTGATGGTACGACTTGAAAAATAAAGGTTTTTCAGTTCCAAGAAGGCGAAAGAAAATGATGTTGGATGATAGGGGAGGGTGGGACAAAATGAATACTTTTGACTCTTAGGTATACCATATATTTTTAACGGAACTCTTTCCACGTCACCTAAGAGGTAGAGTTTGTGACGCGTTTTTTTAAATGTGGTATCCCCTGTAGGCCTAATCCACGAAGTCAATGGATGGAAAATTTCAATGATTTCGAAACCTGAAAACGTAAAGACAAAATAAATGGAAAATGTGAAAACTGTCAGTACTTATGATTAAAAGAAATATAAACATACTGGTGATCATTGCATCATAGTCAAAATTCTATCAGGAATCCTGGAAACCGACCGTCAGGAGAACGAAGATCCTCAGAGTTCCTACCACAACTCTCGTAAACTGAAAGAATGCATCTTCTGTTAGATACTGTACACGGAGACTTTGTACATATTTGAAAACTAGTAGGGAACTAGACACTCTTCGTAATGGGATAGTGGATCAAAACTCCCCACCAATTTCAAGCTTGTGCAAAGTCCCCTCAAGAAATAAAAATGTTCAACTTCCCCTAATTATGAACAGCTATCCAAGATCCCTTCACACGTTCCTCCGCATCCTTCATCTTCGGTCCGAGGCTTTGCGCTTTCCAGCAGATGGAGCAGAAGTTCTCATAAAACCGCTTTTTGATGCGAATTCCACGACGACTTCCGGTTGAGATGTATTGAGAGCAAAAACATGCACGCGTAAATCGAGGAATTTTTTGATACCCGCCTTAACAATGTCATGCTTGCTGCAGAAAAGTACGTAGAGCTCTGGTGGAATCTTCTGGCTGATGGATATTACGAGACGCTCTAAAAGGTTCTCCAATTGGAGGATTTTATTTTCCGCCTTTTTCATCAAACTCGGAAATGGAGACAATTTCATGCAGCTGGCCTGTCGGGTGAATTAAACCCCCCGCGCTGATGGCTTCTGTCCACCCGCAAGGAAGAGAACGATCAACCTCTGATGCCACAATTGACTGATTACAATCCTCACAAGATCCATAGAGTTGACGTGCAATCCAACCCGCAACGTAGTAGACACCAAATTTTTGCATTCGAGTTAAATGACACGGTTCTAGGACGAAATCTTCCATCTGCTCACTCCCCTGTTCCACCAGTTTGCTCTCTTTGTTACGTCCCTTCAAACAGTCAATGTAATAAGCTTCTTCGTCGTCTGAATACGAAGAGCTCTTGCTCACTTTCAGGAACATAGCCACTGCGAGGTGAAATTTATGACGTAGACGGACTGGACGCGGATGCATGTCACCAACTCTTGCTTGAGAAAAGATATTTTCACAAGGACTGGAGCCGAAGCGACTCGGGAGGAAGTATTCCATTTTTCCAGAAAGCACGTATTCTTCATGGAATTGGAACGCGGTCAATGTGGCCATTTCAATTCTACGTTGAATCGGCTTGCGTTGGGATTTGGATTTACCAATTTGACTGAACGGTAATCGTTTTATCAATTCTATGAATTTCATAAGTTTCTGCCTCTTAGCGATAGTTGTATCATTATTACCAAGAGCATCACTCTTATGTCTAGCAGACATGATGGAATACCACTCATGGACATGACAAATGAACCACCCCGTTGTTTTTGCTTCTCGAGGCATGTCTGATTTCTCATCCTTAGCCAAGAGAACCAAAGCAGTTCCAACTTCGTGGCAGAAAACTTCACGCGCAAGCCTAACGTCCATTTTATTGAATTTTGCAGGTTGTACGTGCTCCAGCTTCAATTTATACGCAATCGTAATTCCCCCGCGTCCGTAATCATTTCCTTCAACTAGTTTCTCAACATATTTCATAGATACTGTTGGTGTAGGTAGGTTATTGGCGTTTCGAACGTCTTCCGGAATGTAGAAGTCCGTTCTTCCCAATTGGCACCACATATTTTTCAATAAATGTTCACGATCTGGAAATATCCACAATCTTTCTCCTTCTTGAAGAGGATGGGGGAACGAAGGAGTACATTGATTGTCAATACTGTGAACACCGCGATCATTCCACAACGCTTGGTTTCCCGGCCCTGAATCCGATGACAAACATACCACGTGAATTCCTGCATCCTTAAGAAGTCCAATAATCTTCAGTAAAAAATCGTACAGTTTCTTACTGTCGAGAGATGCAGCAGTTAATGCATAAGAAACAGGCTGCTTCCAATGGGATGTAACTCCACGAGCCACAATTGCCAGAGCGTGTGATGCTTGAGTGCCAGCTTCTTTTTCGTCTCGTGCCAGTTCTGGAGTGACTAAACCAATAAATTTCTTCAGGCCACGATCATATTCCACCGCCGGTTGAATTGCCATTTCGTCAAAGCTTAAAACGCAGAGATGAGCATTGGGAGTCTCATCCTGAGCCACTTTTTCTCCCAGCCATTGGATTATTTCGGATATAATGCCAGGCTCAAATGTTATGTGAGAAATTCTCGAGAAGATCGTGGAGTATGCAGGTAGAGGAAGGTGTTCTTCCAATCGCAAATATTCATATCCAGCGACGCGGACCTTACACAAAATTCGAACCGCTTTCCTGATTGTTTCCTCAGACCAACGCTTCCTGTTTAACGCTGAATCTGCGCATTGCAGCATTAACAGTTGATCATCATTTAGAAACTTCTTTAAATTGACCATGAAAGTTTCCATCTTCTCTTCACTGTTTCGGGCCTATGGAGGAAATGATCGAGGAAAATTGGAGAGAGGAGATGAAACGAATGGAATGTATAGCGATGACTGAGGATACACGATAGTGATAAACAAATGAAAAAATAGTAGAAATTTACTTAAATCAAGAAAATTGATAAGTGAGTATTGGTTCTTAAAGAAAATAAATATGGTAGATCGATATATCACGTTTCTCCTCCTCTGTGAAAAATAAAATCGAACGACTAGAATGAAGTACAAGGATAATATTATTACACTTACGTGTAAAGCTAAAAGACCAAGTATACTTATACCATACTTCAGCCTAACATGAACGTCTCAAAGTTCTCACGCTTGACCTGCAGTTACCTTTGAGTTAGACCCTTAAGCTTGATTCTTAGCGTTTGACCCTCACTTTTTCAACCCTCATTGTTCCAATTTCCGATCTCACAACTGAGACACTCAATGAATAAGAAAACATTTTAGAGAACAAAAAAAAATGAGAATGAAAGGTGGATGAAAACTTTGTAGAAGTACTACAATTTCAGAGTTCGATATTTGTTTCAGGAAATTGGAATATAGGATATGGGAAGTGCCCGAAACCCCAATGAGTAAATTTCAACATTCTCGTTAATTGTTCATTTATCTCAAAGCCAATTGATTTCAAGTGAAAATGTCAAAAGACCATTCTTTTAGCTGATACAATTTAGAACAAATATATGCTTTGACATTTTCTTGTCAAACCACTCATTCTATAGATAATCACCGAATGAAAAAACATTTCTAGATTTATACCTATGAGCCCTAAAATATGCGTTAATTCCGCAATTATCTTTATAATTATCAAATCATTTAAGGACCTTTTTGGTAGCTCCCAAGATTCCTCACAAATAATGTCTTTCGACATTTTTCTATAAAACCCCTCATTACCGGAAAATCTACTATCTTTCTTCAACTTGCCGTCTCAATTCAATATCAACATTTTCATCAATTGAGTGGTTATTCCGTTCACGAGTGGTTTGACAATAAAATGTCAAAAGATCTTTGTAACGAAGAAAATTTCCTGCAAAAAATGTCTTTTGACATTTTGTCCGAAACCCACTCATTAACGAGATAATTGGATAAGTAACGAAATCTAAAAAATAACTTCTTCCAATTGTCACATTTATCCATTTAGCTCATTAATGAGTCATTTTCATAGGAAATGTCAAAATACCTCTTTTATGGATCCGGAAATTCTTCATAACGAAGCTCTTTTGTTAATTTACCCTAGAATTACTCATTATTGAAATAATTAGATGTTTAACAAAATATAAAAAATCAACTTGTGGCTCCTCACTTTACTACTGAAATTGACCATTCAAATTACTCATCGATCTCGATAACTACTGATTCGGAGAGAAAATATTGAAAGGCCTTTTACGTAGCTGATAAAATTCTATTCATGGCGATTTTTGGTTTTTCATTACTTAAGCATGGAATGGCAAAAAATAATACCTTCTTTTTTGCTGCTACCAGCTGTCTCCCCAAAGCCTCATTGTCCCTTTCCAATTGTTCAATTTTGGATTTGAGTGCAGCGATTTCGTCACAATTTTTATCCAAGGAAATGCATTGGATGCCTCCAAGGTCATCGGCATCAACCATCATTCCTTCACCTTCATCAATAATGCTAGACGAGGTTGGAAGACATGTCTCCATCAACGTCTCTTCATTATTGAGAGTCAGGCCAATTTGAGTTGTAGGTGCTGAGATGGATAGTAGTTTTTTTTTATAAATGTTTTTTTTTCATTCATTCACTTACCATTTCTTCTTGGAGGGCGCCTGATGAAAATAGTAGGTACAGCATCAGCATTCAGCCTCTCCTTACCGTCTTTCAATTGTCACTGATCGTCATCGAAGTGCCCCTATTATTGAATAATAAATAAATGAAGAACAAAAAATAAATGAATGAATGTTTTGATAGAACACAATAATTAAAACTATTTTCTCTCGCACCTCGCACAAATAACAATCTGACTTCGATATTTGATCACTTGGTAACAAATCACCGCAATTTTCCATCCATTTCTTTCTTTTATCCTTTTTTTTTCAGTTGGGAGTGAGAAAAAACGATATTTGTCTATCGTCGAATTTTTACAATTCACAATTGCATACAATCTAACCATTTTTCTTGAATAAATTCGCACGGATTGTGTAGATTTATTACGACAGGTTTTGACAGGCAAAAACAAAAGACTGTCGCAAGCCGGCTGGCACATCATTACACCCAGCAACCCGCGAAAAACAAACGTTTTATTAACATTTGAATAAGCAGCCCTCATTGTTTTATTTTCAATATTATTGAAAAAAACTCGACTTTTCCATGAATTTTCATGATTTTTCATTGAAAAAGAAGATAGGAAAATATATTTAATAAAAAATGAGCTGATTGAATGTACTAGAATCATTCAATTAATTCGGGAGATGGAATTAATGGCGAAAAAAATCGGGAACTTTTTCTTTAATATTCTTTATTTTATTTAACAATTTAGAGCCTAAATTTTACATTTTTTCATTCAGTTCTATTCATAATACGGATTTCATAGTTTTCCACCAGCACAGCAGTATCTATGGGTGGGGGGCTAAAGGAGATGAGGGGAAGATGAAATCGACCGGAACGCCACGCCGCGGCGCCCGAGAGACCTTGTCCCCTGTTTTCTGGCTTTAGAATACCTCCCTATATCATACCTTACTCTCGGTATCTCGCAGCGGGAGCCGAGGGCGCTTCTACGGTAAGCTGTGAAACAAAACGTGAAAAAATTTCAGTTGAATTCCCATTCCGGGTGTTCCGTGAGCATAAAAACATCGAAATAAGAAAAAAAACAGCCAGCAATAACCGACTGACACCCGCTGATCCTAGTCGCCTAGACTCGAGTGATGCGGTGATGATGCGTGCAACGAGTACCTCGACTCCTCGACTAATTGGAATTAATTGAGGATTAAACAATCAACGGGGAACGGAGGAGCATTTTTTTTAATTCCCCTCGACTTGTCTGCCTCACACACGACACCCGGGTGGAATAGTTTCGTGTCTGATGAGCCACTCTATTGAATATCTGGTGGTAAGATGGCTGTGCAGCTGGACGGCGGGGGGAAAGAGGACTTGAAAACACAATTTGTAACCCGCGAGGGTACTTACAAACTTATGACACTCTCTGAATATTCGAGACCGAATAGAGTTGGTAATACGGATACGAGGGGTAGTGCATCGGTCAGAGTGTCATTCGTTACATTACCCGATCCGGCCGATCCCAATGGTACACAGGGCCTTGGTGACCGAATGTGCTTCAATTTTGGAAAAGAATTGTATGTTTATGTTTATCGAGGAGTCAAAAAGGTAATTAAACATCTCAATTAGACCTTAAATCAGTCAAATAATTTGCGCAATTTTTCGCTTGATTAATGTATTGTTTTTTACATAACCTAGAAAGTAAAGTTGAGATAAAAATGACTCCATCTTTGACTTTAGAATCACCACACCTATTCCAAAGAAATAGAATTGATGGATTTTTTGGCGAGAGAAGAGATCTAGTTTTGGTTGATCCTTTGGGTGGGGGGGCGTTGAGAGAGATTTTATAGGGGTTGAGGGGGAAAATTATCGGAAATGAGTATCGGGAGTGAAGAAGGGTTGATGAAGGTTTATTGTTGGATTGTTAGGCGGTGGATCTGAACAAACCGGTGGACAAGAAGCTGTACAAGGGAACAAATCCAACATGCCACAATTTCAATCAGACAACTGCTACTGCTGAGATAGCACCTCTGCTCGTGGGGTTTTCAACTGGACAAATACAATTGATCGATCCTATCAAGAAGGAGTTGAATAAATTGTATAATGAAGAGGTAGGGACGATCAGATGGGGGTGGAGATGATAGTGGTGATCCACTTAAAATCACATTCTCTATAAAATAAATATCTCCCAATCCCAATAACAATAACTAAGATATCTAACAAAAAGCAACAAAAAGCTTTAGAATAGACTCTAAGTATCTCCAAATATTCCTCCCTTTGCCACAAAAAAAAATAACAAGCAGGGGACAGCGAGCATATGACAGCACGCCATGTAACTGAGCATGTCACTGAGTGGTCTTTTTTTTGCCATCAATACATTGATGGTGGGCTTCCGAATGGTCTGAAATATTACAAAAGTTTATAGCTTCACAACACTAAATAACAGCAAAAATTTCAAATGGTTACAGTCACCTCCATAGGTGCTATGAAAATTCCAATGTTTTGAATACATGTCCAAATTTCAAGTTGATATCTCGATTTTTGCACAAGCTAGAGTGTTTACAAAGTTTTTTATTAAAAAACGGAAAAACGGGAATATCTCGAAAACTTTGTATGAACGGGTATATGAGCTTTGATTGATGTTGATAGAAGGCATCGGAACGAATATTTTGAAACCAAAAAAATCGAAATCGGTCCACTAGTTTTGAAAATATTTGCGGAAAACTATTTAAAAACGAATCGCTTTTTCTCCAAAACTATTAGATCGGTCGGGCTGAAATTTTGCACAGAGTTAGTCCTCATTAAGATCTATAATGTGACAAAATTTTAGATTTTTTGGAATTACCTTATCCATTTAATTACTCATTATTCTAAAAATTAACCACCGGGAAGGTGGCTGGCGGTGGACGTGGTCACGTACAGACATGGTCTCCAAACTTCATATTTTTCCCAATCAAAATTAGAGATTGTGAAAATCGAAGGATTGCAATGCTTCCATTCGAAAGCAAAAAAAACTTTGATTTCAATTCAGTTTATACCATTCATAAAGATGTTAACATCGCGATTTAACGCAAAGATTGCCGTAATTTCGAAAAGCATCGTTCGATTTGTGATTTCGCCGTCTTATCTCCTTAACACAAGTCTAATCTTTGATTTCAACTCAGTGTATACCATTCACAAAATGTAAAATAAGTGAAATATCTAAAAGACACAAAAATAACAATAAAAAACCCAAATAATGAAATTTAATATTCCAGAGACTGATAGACAAGACAAAAGTGACCTGCATAAAATGGGTCCCAGGCTCGAGCAACCTCTTCCTAGTGTCCCACAGTTCAGGTCAACTCTACCTCTACAACTGGGAGCTCCCCTGTGGCACAACCCCCCCTCACTACCAGCCCTTTAAATCCGGTGACGGTTTTGCGATTCACACTTGCAAGACAAAATCCACACGAAACCCCCTGTACCGATGGGTGATCGGAGCTGAAGGCTGTTGCATCAACGAATTTGCCTTCAGCCCCTGCGGAACGAACCTAGCAGTTGTCTCTCAGGACGGCTTCCTCCGAGTGTTCCACTATGACACAATGGAGCTCGTAGGCTCAGCGAGAAGCTACTTCGGTGGTTTTTTATGCGTCTGTTGGTCACCAGACGGCCGTTACGTTGTCGTTGGAGGTGAGGACGACCTGGTGACCATCTGGAGCTTCAACGAGAAACGAGTAGTGGCCAGGGGTCAGGGCCACCACAGTTGGGTGAGCGTGGTGGCGTTCGATCCCTTCACAACATCTTACGGAGAACCTGATCCTGACTTTAGTGGATCTGACGACGAAGCGATACACAGCAACCACAACAATCATTATCACGAGAAAACAAAAAGAACGTCAACAGCTTCTCAAGGACTGAATTCAAACAGAAATTCTTGTGGCTCTGAGCTGAGAGTACCGGGAGGCACTTGTTACAGATTAGGAAGTGTCTCTGAGGACACCCAATTGTGCCTGTGGGATATCACCGAAGACGTCTTGAGGCAGCCAGTGTGTGCCAAGCAGAGGGCCTCCACTGCTGGCTCTGGGACGTTCACCTCATCTGGGACCTTCACCAGTGGCAATGGACCCACTTCCAATCATCTCAACAATAGCAAACACAATAACATGAATAACATCTCCAAGGAGGACAGGAACGATACGACAGCAAGTGTTGCTGTTTCCACAGTTAACTCATTGACTCAGAGATTCGCTGGTCTTGGTTTTGGTGATAGAAAGGGTGATAATCATAAGAGAAACTTTAGCCTACCATTGAGAAATACAAGTACGAGTAATAGTAATGTACAAGTGCAAAATAGTGGCGAAAAATCAACGACTAATGGAAGTAATATGAATAGTGTCAGTGGTTTTGGTGGTAAAAAAGTTAGTTCTGTGATGGATGATCCAATGAGATTAATTGGTACAGCTTGGTGTCCGAGATTTGATGAGTGTCCTGTACTTGAGCCACTTGTTTGCAAAAAATTGGCACACGAGAGACTGACTGAATTAGTTTTTAGGGAGGATTGCTTCGTTACAGCTTGTCAGGATGGATATGTTTATACATGGGCAAGACCTGGGCATATGGTAGGTCCACTTACTATTAGCAGCACACTGCACAGGCCACATCACCATAGTAATGTACACAGTAATATCAATTCTATGCGACTTAATGATCTCTGATGGGGGGATTTCGGAGGGAGTTAACCAAGTTATTCGAGGAGTAAATCATCCAACGTTTCACCATAATTGGAATTAATATTGCTTGGTTTGGTGGTCGTCAGTAGAAAAACAACAAATTTATTCCCTGCAAAAACATTATTTTACGTAATTTATATTCTCTTTCTCTCTATTCAAACTGAAATTACATTGCTGTTTTTAGCTTTGGAAAACATTTTATGATTATTTCAAAAAGAGATCTGTTATTACCTATTTATATCAGAAATTGTTGTACGATCGTGAAAAATCGGATAAGCAATATGTAGCATTTAAATAGGGGAGGGTGAGGCAAAATGAAACAGTCGAAAAATGACTGACGCAATTCAAGTAAAAAAAATTGAAAATTTTTTTTTATCAACTTTTTTTCTTCCGAACGGAAGCTTTTAATCGATTTTTACGATCTTCCAATTTTCTTTGGAAATGATGTAGAATGTCATGAAATGTCAAGATTTGATTAGATTAGATCGATTACACGTTTCTTTGTTCATTGAATTGAAATTCAGCATCACATTTTCCTTTTTCCCCCTCTGGGTCTCTCCCTGGACCTCCCTCGGGGCTTTGGATTTTGCTGTTTCGTTTTGTTTTCAATTAATCCATTGACAAAATCTTCTCCCGTCAAAACTTTTCAATAATTTTTCAATCTACTGAATGGAAAATTATTATTTACATTGGTACTCTCAAGAATAAAAAAAATTAATAAACAAAAGTTGATGAAAAAAATATTTAATAAAAAAAAAATTTTTTGCTTGAATTGCGTCAAACAGTTATTTTTCGACTGTTTCATTTTGCCCTATTCTCCCCTAAATTAATTGATAATTTACGTTCAAAATTCAATGAATCACTGCTAAGCATCATTTTCTATAATTTTGCTTGTAATGCTCACGGATGACTCATGTATTTTTTTAACGCAAATTATGTAAAATTTTTTTTTTTAAGGAAAAGAAAATTGAGTTGTTATCCTGGAAAGGTTTCCAATAGAAATCGAAAAGTCGACACAGTTTAATCTTTGTTGTTTTTTTTTGATGATGACAACCGGACTGAATAATATTAACTTCAATTGATCAGTTTAATTGGAGGATTTAAAAGAGGAAGAGCAGAGATCTTTTCGTCAGACGAATTTTACTCTGCACTTGGTTTTAACGGGAAATTGTTTCAGATACGAAACGAGAATACATATTAGGAGAGGTATATATTGAATTTTATTCAATTGTTGAAGGGGTTTCATTGCATTTGGAACGAATTTTTGGATTTTTTGGAAAGACCTGTAATGATAGGACATGAGGGAACATTATATTGCTGAAGTGGGGGTTGGATTTAACAGTGAAGTGGTACTTCAGTAAATTTTTACAACTTTATAAATTTTCGATTCATCATGCTGTAAAAAATATATTTCTTTGCATTTTCGTCTGAAATCAGTCGTTATGGAGTTATTTTATGACTGATGGCGCTCAAAAGAGCACAAGAAAAATGAAATTCTTCATGTATGATAATTCGGAATTCATTTCAAGAATGCGTGGATTTCGGAGGAAATTTTAAACTACATTGCTTATAGAAAATTGAATTTCAAACAAAAAATATTTAATTTCACCCTAGAACCACTTTTTCTTGAGCTAATTCCCCATTTAACACCTGCGAATTCGATAGTTCCCTCAACATTTTGCCACTTCACTGAATTATCAATCATTTAAACATTTTCCTTATTCTTCGTGTTAAAAGTATTAGATAGACTTCTAGGTATTTATCCAAAGTGCGATATTGCGTGCGAAGGACACTGCAAGTGACGTCATCTCAATTATTTTAATTAATATATATTTTTTCAAGAGAAATTAATTAATTGAATTAGTGATGTATGTGGTCGTGTGCCATTCCTAGGGGACCTGGGGGGGAAGAGAGCTAGAGATCTTCAATTGCTCTGAACTTCATAACTACAGGAAGGAAAAGAACAAACACCTACATAAAACTCGCTAATTTGTTTTTTTAGTTAAATAATTAGAGAATTTATATATAATTTTCGTGTTAGTTTCCCTTCCCCACCCCTTCCATTCTTCTTTGTTCGACTTATCAACAGGGCAGGCCCCTCCAAACAAAAACGAAGAAAAGGAAATCATGAAAATATTTTTAAAAGCCCCAAGCTCTTTGTATTGAGTCTTTAATTAATAGAGATTAGAACAAAATGTAGTCGGAATGCTAGAAAATTTATTCAATATTATTAATAATAATCCAACACCCCCCGCCCGCCCCCATTTATTATCCATAAATTTGTGACATTTAATTTTTTTTGTTAAACTGAATTTTCATTGTTGTAAAAAAAATAAATCATGAAAACCAAAAGAAGAAGACGAGAGGAATTTTTAGATAATTAATCAGTTTTTTTATCTATAATAAGTTGAATGAGACCTGTGCTTGCTTCCCTGCTTGAGTTCAATATTTTCTTTGGCGAGGGAATGTGTGTTACCGAGAGTATAATAAAAAATATATATACAATGGGAGAAAGAATGTTAATTCTAGAGAGAACGAGATGATGAACCATTAATAAAATGAGTTATTCGATGCCATATGAGGTTAATTATTTACTTTATCACGTGTTTATTGACAAAAAATATGAAGAAAATTTAACTAAAGGAATTGGACGAATTTATTGGCACAAATTTGAAGGATTCTTTCAAAAACGTTCGTTGCAGCTGATATCATTTACGTTTGAAACATAACTTATGGCTGTGCTTATCTATCATTTCTTTGTCTAGAGTTGTTGATGGAATTCATTTCGGTATTTATACTTTTCGTAAATTATTTATTTATTAATGAATGAGTCGTGCGATATGGCTTTGGCTCTTGCGAGATAACGTGGATTTGCTGCTATACCCAATATTTATCGCATGGTACGTATAAATTATGATTTCCTTCCTTTGCTGTTCAATTTTCATTTAGTTTGATATGCACATGAGTAATTTACACATCAATTAATGTCAAATAACGAGTGGATGAGTTATATTTTTTCATTTAGAGTGAATAGAATTATCTCAAGAACTATCCAGTGGAATAATTTCAGTCGAAATGTCATAGAATTCCATGACCATACATATAAACATTTCAAGTGATTCTAGCTATTGGAATAGAGAAATTGATGAATGTATTTTCTGCTCCAGCCAGGCCAACAAGTTCTAACAGTCCCGCATATTGTCAGCCCTGGTGAGAGTGGTGGAACAATAGTATAGCCACAGCCTGAACCCGACAGACCGACAGACTCATCAAGAATTGATGATAAAAATCTTGATAATAATTCACAGACATCGTCACGGTCTACAGCAGTACCATTTGTACCACTGACAAATCATCGTCATTTGTATTACGTATGGCCAAGCGAACACTACTCGAGTCCAGTCTAAAATTTTAATGATTTACCAAATCAAAAAACAACGGATAAATATTATTTTTCCATCGAGTTAATGCGTCCAACACAAGAGTGATGATTATTCATCCAACGATCAACCGCAAGACCATATAGTTTAACCATTTTCACATGCTTTTGTACAATTTTTTAAGTAAAAACAAAACTAACGAGAAAATATGGCAGAGTTGAGTGGCTATTATAAATAATATTGAACTGAATCAATCGATTTTAAAAACTATTGAGAGTATTAAAAAGTGAATTAAAGTATGTCTGAATTAAAGTGTGAAGATTGCAATTATCATTCCATTATTTGCTTAATAGTTAGAATGTAATGATTGCATGAAAAATGAAAAATGTCAATTCATAGAAAAAAACTTATTCATCTTTTCCGAAACAGTTTTGCAACGCTACGCCCCCATACACTTAATCTTCAAAATAATTGTCTTTATTAACGAAAAGGAATATTAATTTGTTGATATGGCGCAGCTCAATGAATCTTTTAGCACAATTTTCATGAGAGATTGATACAAAAAAAGATGAATCGCCACTGTTAAATTGCCTTAGTAAAATCGTAAGTAAAAGAGAAAAAATTAAGAGATTTATGTAATGAGAAAGTTCTTCATTTCCTCACGTTTATGATTATACATGAGAGCAGTTGAGTATTTTTTAGCTTAAAAAATGACAAACGTTGAAATGTGTAAAAGAATCGTGTGAAAAAAATCATAATTGAGAATATCGCAATGGAAAATTACATTTGCGCGTTTTTTTTCCAGCAACAAATGTCAAATTCTTTCGGACAAATGCAATTCTTAAATTTCCAATTGTTAACATTGTTAAATATCAATGAAAATCATGTCTATTGACATTTTATTTACAAACAATGTATGATGCCAACTATAGCTTCGAAAAACTAGACAAAAGTTTTAGTTATGTTGTATTCAACTGATTGAAAAATCCCGACAATGTAATTTTCATTGAAAACCACTTGGGTATTCTCTCTTCGCTTTATTAAAATGTATAATGTGTATACCGTGGGTGTACGACAAGTTGACGAAGAAAAATAAATGACGTGAAGGAGTAGTTCCTGCATCTGAGGGCTATGAGATCAATTTCCATGTTTTTAAGTTTTGCGGCGAGACTGGATAATTGAGTGTATGCATGTGAAAACGAGAATCTCTGAATAAAAAAAATTATTCAGAAGATTTTTCCTGAAATCCTATGGTTCTCAGGTGCATATTCAATGTATTATAATGGAAGTGGTGCAGAGAATATGGCAAAGTATATAAATGAATTAAAGAAAAAAATTAGGTACTTATGAAATATCCTAAGGATAGACAGTATTTCAAATATGATATTCCACAAGGCGATACTTCGTATATTTAATTTATGAATAAATTAACAAAATTGACAAAACAACCAAATGTTAGATCATCGATGAAGAAGTTATAAACTTTTGAGTAGATTAGTGAACTGATTGTACGATTTTATCGAGGGCATTTTATATTAAAATTAACAAAAAACGAAATAACAAAAAAAAATAATGCAAAAGTGTACGAGAAGCTGATTGATTTTTGTTCTCTAATTTACGCAGATAAATTGCGTTTCCATAATTAAAAGAAGCATGACAAAGAAAGCTAGTACAAATTATGATATTTTTTCATATGACTGTTGCCATATAGTAGAGATTATTATATATTTAGTTGAACTTTACATATTTAATCATTATATTCAATTAGTAATAGATGATTATTATTCACTGTATTTAAATAATTTGTTTTGTTTTTTTTTTACTTTAGTACTCGAGGTTTTGTCTTCAAGAGACTTCTCAGCTCATCCCACCTCCCTCACTCTGTTCGTAAGAGTGAATTCTTTGTAATTGTAAATGAATGAGAAAAAAAAACCAAACAATTCATTGTTAAGTGAACGTTTTTCATTTTCCCTGGAAAATCCCGCACGTTTTTTATGAATACAATCTTTACTACTGCCACGATTCGTTAACTATTAACGAATCGTGCTAATAGTTAAGAAGCCTCGTTAACCAAAACTAAATCGTTCCAGCTTTTTTATCGGTGCAAGAATAACCGAAAGTGCCTGATAAAGATATGTTAGAATATCGCGAATAACATCGTGACTCGGTATTCCAGGAATTATTACAGACAAGGCATCAGATACCAACGTAAAGATCATCTCCATTAAATGATGCTATGACTGTTTCTCGAGTATACTACCAGAAACAGACGTTAACAATCAGTGATATAAAATTTTATCGTATGATATTGTGAATTCATTAGACATTCAGTGTGCATAAAGCACTTGTTTTCCAATACGTGCACGTAGAAAAGTGCAACTTTACATACTTGTAATACAATATACCATTTATTTATAATTTTTTGCATTATTGTGATGATGTGTCCACGTAATATTCCTTGATAATAATACCGGCGGTACTCTACTCAAGTAATGAACAGGAATGATGTTTAATTCTGTAGAGTATTATAAAAAATAATATATTGCGTTACAGGTGCGTAAAGTTATACTTTTCTACACGCACGTATAACACATACTATTTTTTGTGATACCTGCCGAATTCAGGGTGGTAGTGGGGGTAAAGAGGTGTTTTTGCGCGCGGAGTGAGCACCGCTCACCCCCAAAAACGCGCTTCTAATTTGATCGAGCGACCACTCGCGTTGTAATGCGTAATTCTTTTTTTTACCAATGAACCATGATTACGGGACGTCAAGTAATCAATTTTAGGCATTAACACTATTTATTATCAACAATTTAATTGTTCAAATCACCCTAGTGCCCAAACTATGAAAGATATACGAAAATTTTCGGATCATAAATCATTTAGAATTTGATAAGGAATAAGTTTTGTCTTTTGTCAATTTCAAATTTGAAAATTTCCGTCTATACTTCATAGTTTGGGTGCCAGGGCGATTTCAAGAATTTAATTGTTCATAATAAATAATTCCAATGCCTAAAATTGATTGAAAATTATTTCCTTGATGTTTAGCGATCATATTTTATTGTTTAAACCAATAATTAGGTATTAGAACGCGAGTGGTCGGTACATGTCTGAAAATCGAGGGTGTCCCGCAGCTCTATCAAGGTCATGCGGAAAATGAATGAATTTCAATTTCTTTACGCTGACTAAGCCATCCTGAGAAAAAGTTCACTTTTCAGGCAGGCATGTTTTTTAATAATGCTTAAATCAATTAATTCGATAGTAATCCCAGGTAATGAACATTCGGTCAACGAATTGAGGGCTAGATTTGTTGTAGGATTATTCAAAACTTATTAACTTGAAAATGGTCGCACACTAGTACAACTGTGTTTTAATAAAAGTTCAATTGAGGAAGAACTGTGTTCATGAAATTAAAATACGAAAATTCAATGGAATAAATAGGCGGGAATTTTCAATCAGAATGCATTTGCGCGGGTACTATTCAAGTTAATTAGGTTATGGTACCAAAATAAATGACACTACAGAAACCGAAAAAAATCATAATCTTCTATTGTTTCTGTCAATTCAGTTCAATGAAAAATTCACCGTCATCTTAATTGATTAAATTGATTGATAAAAATTGAAAAAAATTATATTGTCATCGCAAAATTCACGGTGGAAAACTAAGTAATTAAAGAAATGGAGGGGAAACACAACGACAGTAATAAAAAACGAAAGGTACATACAAACTTATGTGCATGGAAATTCAAATTCATGACTGAACACAATGTTTGAACAGCCAAGATCATCTAGTGCAGCACCAGCGGAGAAACGAAGACGCGCAGAAAATAAAGAAACTCCAACCCCGAGTTGTTCCCAGAATACGAAAGACACAATTTCCACGAGCAGTCAAAATACAATAGCATCGAATAATGGAAGTCCCTCAAATGTAAACAAAAATAATAGCGGAAATGATAGTAAAAAAGATACGAGTAATTCACAACAGTCTGAGCATTCATTAAATGACCCACCCAGTCAAGACACGAGGTAAAAAGACAGAAAAAATCATTTTTTTTATTTTTGAGATTGGCATTTCGACATCTCTTAATAAAATAAGGATATTTCAATTTTCTTTTTAAAACACAAGGGTATCTCAAAATTCATGTGAAAGCTTGTTGTTCACACGCATGAAAAAATTCAATAGAAAATCTAGCGAATTCGCTAGAAAATTCTATTGGAATTCTATCGGATTTCTATTGGAATTCTATTGAAAAATGCTATTTGTTTTTTGCGCTGATTCTATTGGATATTCGATAAGAAAAAGTCAATAGATTTCAAATTTCTGTTTGATTTTTTCTATAAGAATGCTTGGGCATCAATTTTCCAAGTTTTTTCCACTCGGTTTCTGTAATGCAAAATAAAACTAAATCCAGTGGAAAAAACAAGGAAATTTGTGCCTAATAATTTCGAATAGAAAAAATCTCAAGAGAAAAATTCCAACAGAAATTTGAAATCTATTGACTTTTTCTTATCGAATATCTAATAGAATCAGCGCAAAAAAACCAAATAGGAATTTTCAATAGAATTCCAATGGAAATCCTATAGAAGCCCCCTTGAATTCTTACAGAATTCCAATAGAATTTTCTAGTGAATTCGCTAGTTTTCTATTGAATTTTTTCATACGTGCACATCCATTTCTAAGTCTCACGGAGCTCGCAAATCATTTTATTCCTCTTCCAATATGAATTACTTCATGTTATTTGTACTTTTTGATGCATTCATACTATTTATGAAGGGAAGTACAACGTGAGATTTCAGGTGATTTTTCACGTGAATTTTGAGATACCCTTGTTTTATTAGATGTCGGATCATCTCGGAAGCGCACATCAAGAGACCTGCTTTTTACAGAGAGAACATCAAGAGCTATAAATACATTTAAAAAAGTCTGAATGAACGTTTTCCGATCTCGTTGAAAGTCAAATATATTGAACAAAACCCATCTTCAAAAATTTCATTGATCAATCAATTCTCTGTGTTTAGTATAAAAGCCAATAAAGACGAAAATTCCCACAGAACGAGCTCCAGTGATGAGCCAGAGCCAACCCCTCCGAAAACTAGTCAAGACACTGATGCTTCCCCCACTGCAACGCAATCCGTGGAGGCCGTGGTCTGCACCAAGATCCCAAGCACAGAGAAAACTCCAGAGAATCCACCCAAAGAGGACAATGGAAAAAGGATAAAGTTCAGTGATCAGAACCGATCGAAGAAGGGAAGTAGTGATGACTCAATTCATCAGGATGATCCCCAGACGTCTGGGAGAATCACAGAGAACGCAAGAAGACGAAGATGCATTTATGGTGCCAAATGTTACAGGTAAGTCTCAACTTTAATTGAAATGTCAATTTTTCATCAGCGTTCTTTCATAAACATCTCAATATCTACGACATAATTTATGACTAGAGACTTTTTTCGCAGAGGAATATAACACATCTGAGTTCAAAGATATTTATGAAAAAAATATTCCTTTAATTTCATAACTTCTTCACTAAAATGCAAAATTATCTCGATAATACACTCATAGAAAAAATTATTTTTATTGAGATGTTTATTTTTTGGAACAATTATTATATACATGAACCAATTTCAAATAAATAAGATCTAACGGTGAATATCAATTTTTTTTTAGATACATTCACTTGAATCAAACAAAACAGTCCTTGGGGTCAAGTCACATGTATTCACCATAAAAATGAAGAAGTTCTATTTTTTTACAACTAATATAATCTCCAGTCGAGAAATTTTCTACTTTCATGAATTGATCAAAAATTCGTACCTAGGAGATGATTACATTGAGGAATGAATTGATTGTTGTTTTCTCGAATGAAGCCGATGTTTAAATTGAGCTTTCCGTACATCACATTGAACGAAATTTGTGATATCCAAGTTTGTGTCGAATTGCCGTAATCTGTGATTCTATTATTGTAAATTAATGCGATTTTTTTTACTCAAGAAATATAAACTTCTTTCAACTCAACGACATCTTAATACAATCTCAAAGCTTTTTCCACGTAACAATATTCATTCTGATTCGACATATGAAATGCTCACTTCAATTATAATTTACTTGGAACAACGTATGATCGTGTTGATTTAGATAACAACGTGTTTAGTCATGAGAATAATTTTGATTTTTAATTAAGGGGAGACTACTATGAGTTTTTAAAGTCGCGGGCTATTGGAAGAGGTTTCTCATACATTGAAGATGGATTATATGTGTCTAAAAACGAATAATTAGTGCAAAAAACTAATTGTTTATTGTTCGTTTACCCCTTAAACGCTTAAAATGTTAAAAATAGTCCGGGGTCTCCAATTTTTTAGCTACAGAGGTTTTTTTGCCAAATTTTTGGAAAAACATGTGGAATAACAATTATGAATTAGTTTTTTGAAATTCAACTCCTACACAGCTAATTTCGTTATTATTTTCATTAAAAAATGCAACATTTATGTAAAATAGCCCAAAAAACATTTCTAAAAGAATTGAGAATATATTTTAAATATTTTTATACTAAATAAAACGAAATTAGCTGTGTAGGAGTCGAATTCAAAAAAAAATCACAATTGTTATTGTACACATTTTTTCAAAAATTTCGAAAAAAAAACCTCTGTAACTCAAAAACTGGAGGCCCTGAACTATTTTCAACATTAAGCATCTGCGGAGCAAACGAACAATAAACAATTAATTTTTTACACTAATTATTCGCTTTTAGTCATATATAATCGATCTTCAATGTATGAGAAATCTCACTCCAATATCCCAAGACTTTCAAAACTCATAGTAGTCTCCCCTTAAACCAACGAATTTCTGGAGTTAGTAAACTTTTGGCTAGAAAGAAATCAAATACTCTCATTATTGCAATAAATGAAAGGAACTTCAATTCTAGAGAAGTTCGATGTCTCCCAATCAAATGTATCTCAAGAAGAGATAACTGGTATTCACCATGAAATCATGTTTATTTGAAAATTAACAACCAAGTGATAGTGGATTCAAATAACATTCTCTTCACAAAATTGAACAGAGGAAAATTTCACAGAAAATGCCTTCTGCCATTTTTCCCGGAACATATTCCTTGCCGCAATAATTGAGCATTTATTGAAACATCCAAAATTCACTGCTGCAATTTTATGATATACTCAATAAATGAAGTAACTTAACGATTCGTTGTCCCCTAGACGAAGTTCTGATCATCTAGCAGAATTCAGTCACCCAGGGGACGAAGACTACGAGTTGAAAGATGAACGCCCAGAGTGCAAATATGGCTCGAAATGCTACAGAAAGAACGCCAAACACTGGAAGGAGTTCAAGCACACGAAGACTCAAAGAAAACGCTCCACAACTCCTGTCAGATCCCAGCGTTCAGACGACTACTCCGATGCCTCCTCAGCGGAGGAATCCGTAGATGAGTCTGAATACGATCCTTCGGGATTCGAGGAGAGCACAGACGACGAGGGCGAGGAGTACGAGAGTGACTTTTGAAGACTATAAGAAAAGTTTTTTATTGTAAAAAAATCTTACATCTTGAAATATGAATGATTTTTAGCAATAATTCAAATAATTTGTCTTATTGAATATTTTAGTGGTACATTTTTGGAATTTTTCAATGAAAAACAACAATATTAATTGACATTTCAATCAAAATTCAGTTTCTAAACTAGACAACATATTCAGTTGTATCTTTTTATTTCAAGAAATAATAATTAATAGTCATTGCATCGATGAATGTCAATTCGACATCTCTTAATAAAACAAGGGTATATCAATTTTCTTTTTAAAACAAGGGTATCTCAAAATTCATGTGAAAAGCTTGTTGTTCACATCCATTTCTAAATCTCATGGAGATCACAAATCATTTTATTTTTCTTCCAATCTGAACTACTTCATGTTATTTGTACTTTTTGATGCATTCATATCATCATTTATACAGCTGCCAAGAGAAGGAAAACGGGAGATTTCAGACGATTTTTCATATGAACTGTAAAATACCCTAGTCTTAACATGAATTTTGAGATAGACTTGTTTTAAGGGGAGACTACTATGAGTTTTAAAAGTCGCGGGTGATTGAAGTGAGATTCCTCATACATTGAAGATCGATTATATATGTCTAAAAACGAATAATTAATGCAAAAAAAAATTGTTTATTGTTCGTTTGCCCCACACACGCTTAAAATGTTAAAAATATTCCTGGGCCTCCAATTTTTGAGCTACAGAGGTTTTTTTTTCAAAATTTTTGAAAAAATGTGTGCAATAATACTTACGAATTAGTTTTTTGAAATTCGACTTCTACACCGCTAACTTCGTCTTGTTTAAAATAAACATTCGCGCCCTTCACGTAAAATAGGCCGAAAAAGTATCTTCAAAATATTTTAAATGTATTTTCTATTCATTCAGAAAAAATTTTCGGGCTATATTACATGAATGGTGTAATTTTTCATTAAAAAGTAACGAAATTAGCTGTGTAAGAGTTGAATTACAAAAAACTAATTCGTAAGTATTATTGTACACATTTTTTCAAAAATTTTGAAAAAAAAGAAACCTCTGTAGCTCAAAAATTCGAAGCCCTGGACTGTTTTTATCATTTTAAACGTCTGCGGGGAAACGAACAATAAACGATTTTTTTTGCGCTAATTATTCATTTTTAGNCGTTTGGAATAAATGAATCATTCTATCAATGAATTCAGTAGCGAAGTGGTAAACCGGTATAAGTCGATTTTGACTATTGGTCAGTTTTCAATAAATGTGGACGTCCGCATGAAAAGGGACCACTTTGTCGATTCTAGTTTCCGAGATATTCACGTTTTTGTCTCAGCAACTCCCATTTACACTCATGTTAACGTGTTTTTTTCATTGGCTCCGACAACGTCATTTTTCACCCTATGAGGATCATTTTCGGCTCAAAATATGCGGAATGTTATAAATATTATCAGAGTATACATAACTCCATATCGACAAAGTGGTCCCTTTTCATGCGGACGTCCACATATATAATTGATCTTCAATGTATGAGAAATCGCATTCCAATAGCCTGCGGCTTTTAAAACTCATAGTAGTCTTCCCTTAAACATAAAATTGAAATGCCCCTGTTTTATTAGGAAACGTCGAATTGAATTTCCTTCACCTGAGCGTGAATTTGTTTTTACAGACTGAAAAAATCCCAAAAATTGTAATCCGCCATCCATTCTGCTCTCTAGAATCCTTGGTAGCCTTCATCGTCTTCAGTTGGATACTCCTCACCAGCACTGATGGCCACCTCCGCGAGCATGTGCTTGGGAATCTCGGACCCTCTGACCTTAATCATGTAGCAAACATTCTCAATTTTGGCTAGACTCTGCTTCAACGTGTAAACCTTCTTATTGACCTCCTTCCCAGCGGTTCCATAGCACCCCAAGAACCCCTTGTACATCTCCCTGACTACATTACATGTCTGATAACAGCTGGAGATCTCACCAGTTGCCAGATTATTAATGCACTTCCTCATCAATTCCCCAGTCAGATCAGCAATCCCCAGGATGTACTCGGAAGGAGGCAGTAATGTCCTCACAGTGTTGACTTTAACTTCTGGGTCTTCCCCAGTCGGTTCCCCCTTCCCTTCTATTTGATATTCAAAGGTTTGGTCGAAAATCTCCCAATGAGGGAGGGAATTATCCAACAGATAATAGTAGAAAGTCACAGCTTCAATGAACTCTTGTACTCCTCCCCGATAAGCCCTTATGAACTGATATGGATCCTGTCCATCCAATTCACATGCAATTCCCTTGAACAGTGAATTAGTTAATGCATCGATGCGAGTCTTCGCCTCAGCGAGAACAGTCTCTCGTTTCGACTCCTTGTCGATTGTGTGGAGGAGAAAAATTATCCTTTTACTCTCGATTGTGATGTCTCGACTGATCTTCACTATTCTCTCGTAGCGATCGTGCTTAGAGTCCAGTTGTAGAGCGTATCCACGGAATTGCTGGATCACTGGGCTGTTATCGTCGATGTTTTCCACAACTTCACGACCCTTGTCACCTACGTTTATCTTGGGCTTGTTTGAGTGGTAGTGGTGGCGGTTTCGCCGATTGCCGCCGGAATCTGTTGACAATTTTTTAATTTTTGTCAAATTCATAAAACGAAAAAAGCCCAAAGTTTTAGGGGGAGATTTTGCTGAATATCTGGGATTTTATGGTAAAGTTTTTCTGTAAACGCGAATGAGAACTACAAAATAGGTAGTGGAGGGTGGGGGAATATGGACACCAGATTTAAATAATGACTTGAATTGGATCAAATCTACTGTTCCGACATCATTTGATATTTATAAAACAAACATTGTTATATTCTACATTCTACTAACAAATGGTAAAGTTGAATATGACCAAATAAATATTCGTTAATAGTTAACGAATGGTTCACTTGAAAGGTTAAAGTTGAGTCAAACAAGACTCCTCAAATATGCATTCGTTGACTATTAACGAATGAACATTGGTGAGACCTATAGACCCTAGCCTCCATCCAAATCCATTTGTTAACCATAACTAATTCTGTCTATCAGAGTGGGTCATAGGAGTTGTAAGGTAGAATAAAAACGAACAAAAATCTTCCCCTCCCCCATTGTTTTATGGTGATTTCCTTTGTAAGTAGAAAAGTAGCCATCTTACAAATTTCGCAAATAGACAAAGGGTCGGCTGCGTAGTACGTGCAATTGCTTCTTGAAAAAAATTAATGATTTCAATGTTATTTCGATAGTAAAACAGGCAATCCAAAGCTACTCTATGTTTCAAACCTCAATGCAAAATTTAATAAAGTTTAAGTTTATTTGTTAATATCTCTTCTAACTGTAATTTCTCTCTAATATAGAAAAATACTGACACGATTCTGTTGAAAAATGCCTGTTGAAAATTTTCTTGATTAAAGGCGAATAGGACCAACTTTTTCGGGTGTCCATTTTACCCCACTCTTGAATAATTTTGCGATTGTGGACTCTGCCACGAAGCAATTTTCAAAAATTTGAATTTTGAAAAAAAAAAATTCGCAAATTTTTCGAGTGTCTATTTTACCCCAGATGTCCTTATTGCCCCACCCTCCCCTATGAATAAAAATTTCAATACTTCTCCTGAATTCTTAGATATTTAATAAGAACTCAAGTCAAAAAGGAAATAACTTGTGTTGATTTCATTTGTAATTTTTTAAAGAAATTTGGTGTTTTTTTTTCCTTTTTCTAATGTAAACAAAAGAAGAATACTTACTTCGTGCTTGTGACATTTTCAGGATTTTTCCAAAATCAATCTGTAGGGATTAATTCCAGCGTTCAATTATTTTGACAGCTGAGAGGACCGCAGAATTCCGAGGTTAGGACATCAGGTGAATTCACAACACAGAGGGCGATTTTTATTACCGTGTGATGACAATCCGAAAATTATCTGGACTCCGCAAGCCAGCATTAATTGAAATTTCTGTCAATTTTATCGCCTATGAAATGTTGCCAGATTGATGTGAATGAATAATAAATGTTTTCTTCCGTGACACTACCATAAGTTTATGCAGCTCACAATGAAGAACCTACTTTTACCTTCTAGAAGAACCTCCAGACAGAAAGGAATGGACCAGTCATCTGCCTGTTCATTCCAAAGAACAAACAGGTGATTGATAAATACATAAGTAAAGGAGTTGGAAGCACTCACCAGCGTTGGATGAAAAGAACACGTGCTTTTTCACCTATCCAACGACCTACCTCAATTGTGATCTACAACTTTCAATCCTCTCGAATGCACTTACACTTTCAAAATAATAAATTTTATTTCTACTGATCAAAAAGGATAAACTATAGAAATTCGATGAACCATGAAAAATTGCCATCGACACAATTTACTGAAAAAAAATTGGTTCTGAATTTGATTTTCTTTTCTATGAAAATCGACACTGGAATCACTTCAAATATCAAATACTAAACCCTGCACACTAAGAGAAAAATCGGCATAATATCACAAAAATTATTTCTTGAGTGGAAAACATCGCATACATAGTGGATCAATTTATGGTAGGTTTCAGACAAGAAATTGGTGTTCTTCGGACTAAGGAGGAAGTTACTGAATGAAAAGGTGATGTCTGTCTGTCGAAATGAGATAATATTCCTTAAAAGACAAGAATAGTTTGACAGAAGGAAAAGAAGATATTGTTTCCCTTCAAACTCAAAGCGATTGAGCGTAAGCGACGGTTATATTTTTTTAATACCTGGAGGTTTTCCTCTGCATAAACTCTCTATTCATTCAATATGAAAGTCTCTGATTGATGATTCACTGAATCGAAGCTTTTCATATTTTTAGTCATTTTCTCATCTTCTGACATGAAAAAAAGGATTTCTTGTGGCAAGAAATTCTCACTTTATCGTGGATTGTTCTTGTTCAAGTCATGAACACTTCACGATATCGTCGTATGTCTCTCAGTGCACTAGACACCTCGAAGACAACAAACAATTGTTCGTAAATAAAAACAAAGGCTGTCGGTCGGCAGTTATTGTTAGTCCTTTGTATCCATCGTCACAGAAAGAAATCTTACTTCATCCGATGTGCCTCATCAACTCGATAAAAATCCTTGTCGCATTTCAATATCACCACGAAATGCTTTCACCAAGGCGTTTATAGTATTTCGTCGACGTTTGAACCCGACGCTGGCACTCGACGTTCACCAGGTCGATAATTTTCGTGCCTTTCCGTGGTCTTTCCATATGTCCCGATTAGTGATGAACGATGTTTGTCGATTAATTGAAAACATGGATTTTTCATGCCCCGACATCGCTGTTTTGCATTCGATGCTTTCAGCGGCTGACTAATCGATTTTCGATTCTTTTTTCCAAACGTCAATCTTTCTGACCAAGCTAACAAAATTTTTCATTCGTTTGTCGAATAATAATGTTGATTGATTGAGAATAAACAAAATAAGAATTTATCCGCAATCAGAAGTTATTATTTTCTACAGTATGTATGTTATAAATGAGAAGTGAATGAGTCCGGTTATCTATTGTTTTTTTTAATTTAAATTTGTAACAATTATTGTAGCTACCGTCCAGCCATGGAAAATATTCAATATATTTTTTTTTCAATTAAAAATTTAACTCTCCAGCAGTACTTATCATTGAAACGCAGTTCTTCGGGTTGCATTTTTTAAACATATATTTTTCAATAAAAACAAGAAAAAAATTATAAAAAAAAATTTTTTTCCTGCATAATGAGAAAAACATCGATTTTTCAATAAACAATGTTTTTTAAAACATCACCCATCCTATACCCGCTGATATGGCACCAATTTGGAGGTCCACGCGCGCGCAGGCGAATCATTCAAACGTGCAAAAATCTGCGCATGCGTATATGCGTGAGTTATCTGGATATGTGTATACATCTAGATAATTACGTTCCCTTAGCCCTAGCCAACAATAAAGTTCACGAAAACTAACGTTCATTGTTCCGGTAAACATCAATTTCGTGGTAATAGAATTGCGTTTACGACAAAAACTCAACAAACCATCATTCAACTTCAATAGAGTCAATGAATTCTTAGGGAAGTCATTGATCACTGGCAGAATAATTATAACATTTATCCCTAAAAGCTCGTAAATGATGTTAAACTTCCTGCTGGTGCGCAAAATCACCTGTTGTTTTCATAAATGTAAATGAAATCGATATGAGTGATTGACGTGTAGCCAGAGATACACAGGGCGCGTTTCGCAATCGACGTAGTAGCAGTAGCAGTACTGCAACCCTATCTAATTTTGCTTTACTGCAGCTACGGTAGTTGATTCCGAAACGCACCCAGATAATGCTAAAAACCAACTGCAGGAAGTAATTGAAACAATCGAACCTATCAATCTAACATATTTTTTCAAGGTAAATGTAACGTCAATAGAGGATCGAGTTCAATGAACACTTTTAAATTTTCCAAAAATATTTATAATCATGCAGTAAATTCATCAATTTACTCTATTCTATTATCAATTCAATAATAGAGATGTTTTTTCACTAAAAACAAATAGGGGTGAGTGGGGCAAAATGAGACATGGGTCAAAATGAAACAGTCAAAAAATGACAGTTTGACACAATTCAAGCAAAAAAAAAGTTTTTGTTAATTTTTTTTATCAACTTTTATTATTATGGGGAGTACTGATGAGAATAATAATCTTCTATTCGTCTTATAATTCAATTGATTAGGCCGATTACACTTTTCTTGTTTCATTCGATTAAAATTCACCCCCTCTGAGGCTTCCTCTGGATTTTGGATTTTGCTCACTTTGTTTTCAATTAATCCATTGAGAAAATCTTCTCCCGTTAAAACTTCTCAATAATTTTTCATTCTACTGAATGGGTAATTATTATTCTCATTAGGACTCTCAAGAATAAAAAAAAGTTAATAAACAAAAGTTGATGAAAAAAAAAAGTTTTTTTTATAATTTTTTTGCTTAAATTGCGTCAAACAGTCATTTTTCGACTGTTTCAGTTTGCCCCACTCTCTCCTACGTTATTTCATCAACAATTCAATAAACTATTCAATACAAATAGCACAATTCTTTAACTTGAAGAGAAAAGAGATCATCATTGTAATTCATTTTCTCGAATCAATATCAGTAAATCATATCAATCAATAATGATCAATTCTCAAAATTATAATATTTCAGATGTGACTTTACCCTCTCAACACGAAGAAGATACGAAAATCCCTCGAAATCCACAAAAATGGAGAAAATAATCCCCATAAACTGGTTGAACAAGCTCCTCCTGATCCTCAGCATCGTCACAGCTATGGTCTGCCTGATCCTCGAGCAGTGGTTCTCCTTCACGAGCCTCCCCATCTACATTCCCTTGATGTGGTCCCTCATCCTGATAACAGTCTCTACCTGGCTGAGCTGTATCATTTTAAAATACACCCTGAAAGCCACAGCCCCCTTGAACATTGAGCCCCTCACAAAATGGTTAAAATCCCGCCTGCAATGCACCCCCACAAAGCCTTCCCATCACCACAAAATCCACGATTCAACAATCTCAAAACTGATCTCAGAGATCGACGAAAAATACATAGCCACCTGGTACGACAGTATAACCCCCGAGAAAACCTTCAGGAACGAGTCTAAACACCTCCTGAAGCAGCTCTTCAGAAAGATCTCGAGGAAACTGTCGCGAGTCAGCGAGATTCGTTTGACCCATAAGCTGACAGACGTTTTACTCCTCCATCTAAAAGAATATCGAAGATCATTGAGAAGAATCGAGAAAGGAAGCTCCAAGGACCTGGAGGAAGCTTACAGGTGTTCGCATCCCGGGTCCAGGTCGTCAGTAGCCCTAGAGCACACTCTCCACCGAATGGTGACTCTGATTGCGAGAGAATTCCTTCAGTGGGAGCTCGCCAGCTCCCTCCCCTGCAAACTCCTACTCTCGGTGCTAGCCAAACGTCTCCTGAAGATGATCAGCGAGTTCAGCAACCCCCAGATACTCTTCACCCATATTATCAAGCTCTTGAAATCATCAGAATCATCAAAACCATCGGAAAAGAGGAACGGAGTTATCTCGAAGGCCCTGGTAGGAGGAATGGCATCAGTGACCGCTCCAGTGATCCCCAGACCGTTTGAAGAAGCTACTCCAACGTTTGAGATAACCGCACCTAACGGGGGTGTTGATCCTTCCTCTGAAAGATCAGAATTATCTCTGGAGGGGTTGTCATCTCCAAAGGGTCTCTGGGCGGAAGAAGCTGAGGATCCTGAGGATGACGGAATCTCCCCAATTTACGAAGAACCTACAGATTTCGCCACGACGATCGCTAGATTGAGAAGTCTCCTGCAGCAAAAGTCTTCGGCGACAACTCCTCAACCCGAAGAGAAGTCTCACGTTTTTTATGAAGGAAATCAGTTTAGTAATTTAGCTATCCCTTGGACGGAGTTCTGCACTGCTCCTGACGGCTCTCAGCAGCTTCTGTATTGCATTCAGTTCGATGATATTGAACAGCATGGAGAGGATTTATTTGAAACGACTACTGCAACGACCAGAAGGCAGTATTCAGACTTCGTGCAGCTGCATACGACTCTTGAGGAGGTTCCGGAGTATTCTGGGGTAATTTCGGAGATTAAATTGCCTGATGGGGGGAGGGTGGAGATGGAGAATTATCTGAGGGTGCTGTGTGGGAGGCTGGGCGAATCCGGGCAACTGAGGCATTTTCTGAGGCCTAGCAGTGGAGGCGGTAAAAAGGCTGATGCTGTGGCACCCAGGCTGGATAGGTTCCTCGCGAAAACTGTAACTGGAGTGTTCAACACCTTGAGGACAGTCGTTCCGGGGTTCGAGATGGAGGAGGAAGAGGTAAGGATGATGATGGTATGTTAAAGACCATCATTTCCTCTTTGAAAAATGATAATCCATGGGGATATTTTACTACAATATTTATTAAATAATTGTACAATTGATCGATATTCTTCCATCTTCCAGAAGTAAATTTAAGGCCAGGGTGGATTGTCTTTCGAACTTTATCTTGATTGTTTTTCCATCTTCATAAAATGTAAAATATTGTCCCTAAAAATTATAATTGCACAATCAAAAAAAGTTTTTAAAAAATGAACATTTTCAAATAGTATTTTTAATAAAGATTAAGAAATAAGTCCAATAGAGAGGAAGTAGTGAATGGATAATTTCTAATAGTAACTAACGATCTGACAGCCCTTGACTACTGTGACAAATGACGACCTAACAGCCATTAGATACATCAAATTATTAATTTGCAATTTCCTCCCTATTGGATTCATTTCCCAATATTATTCAAAAACTCTCTTTGAAAATGTTCAGTTTTTTTTCAACGTTTTTTCGATTGTACAATCATAATATTTGGAGACTCCAGGTCTATGTAAAACTGAATAGCAATTGGAGGACATTTCATATGATCAAAATAAAAAAAACAAACCCAGATCACATTCGAAAGATCCACCCGGAATACACCCGGGCCTTAAGTGTATATTTTTTTCTTTGTTTGATCTTCGATTGATTTTATGTCATTCTAAATCTAGAACTGATACAATCAACATCACCGCTGGTCCCAGAGAAATGACACGTTTGAATAACATTATCACTTTATTAAAAATTTTCCAATTCATTGCAACAGTACATTTGTTGGAAATTAATAATAATACTCATTGTTCACTTCACTGAAAATGTTTGAATGGTATGGAATAAAAAATAATTCATTCATTTCAAATAAATCCTCTGTTAGAATCAAATGATCGATCTATTTGATCCAAATCATGGATTATTACATGTTCATAAAGGCGTTCCCTATACTTGGATCAAGGAAACATTTGAGGATAACTAAAAAACTTTATTCAATGAGCATAAAAAAGCAAAAAGAAACGAGTTCAAGTTTGAAGAAAAGCTTTATTACGAGCTACTTGAATTAAAACAGTTAATTGATTAAAATAGAGTTCATTTAATGAAAATGAATCATTTCTCGAGGTGTATTTTGGATGAATGTCTCCAGGTGGCATTGTCCACTTTGACTATTTCTGCCTTTAGAAAACAAAATCTCTGTGAATAACATTATTTAATGAATGTTATGATGGAATCGGTTATTTAATAATCCCCCCGTAAAAAAAAATATTTAAAAAATATATAAGGTGGGCTATCTCCATATATTTTTCAAATGTATAAAGAATATATAAAACATATAAATATATTTAAATGTATATATTTTACATAGATTTAGATATATGTTTTATATATTTTTCATTATATTAATTTTTCCGTGTGGGTCTTCCCGTTTTCTTTGAGAATGGGTTGTCTTTTATTATTTGATTGATCTTATGGCATTCTAAATCCAGAACGAGTATACTATTTAACATTACCTTCACATAGTCTTAAATTTATGATCGCAAAATTCTTTTGAATGTCCTCCAGGTGCCATTACCCACCCTAATGCCCCTCGCCGACATTCCCTGGAGGTTCGTCGAGGACATAAAACCGAAAAATCTCTCAGAAGAATTGCAACAACTCGTAGCTGAGAGGATCGACTACTGCACTGTTGACACAGCTTACGAAGCTGTCGACACCGTGGAAGGGAGTGGAGACTCCGAGCTTTTGGCCCACTGGTGGGAGACTGCCAACTGTCCTTACGATGAAGAACTCGACGAGATCGACTCCAAGCTCATGATGACGTGCTCCCTCCTGGATATCCTGTGCGAAATACTCGCAGGAATTAAGAGCTCCAGCACCATCAGGCAAGAGGCTGTCGTTAGGTGGATAAAATTGTTCTTCGGGAGCTGCATTGAGGGCGTCATCCAGGACTGGTTGAGGGGCGTCTCCGAGGTTTTAAAATTAGAAATTGATGAGGACGAGAGAGAGGAGGGGGATGATAATCTGGAGGAGAGGGTTGTCGATGAGGTGGTGGGGAAGGCCTGTGGCGATCTCAAGATCGTCTTCGGAGAGGGGGAATTCAAGACCATGGTGGGGTTCTTTATTAAATCTTTTACGTGCAAAAAAGTGAATTGTGACGTTGCCCTTCAGGTGCTCGATGTCGCAGCCTCAGAACTACTCGCTGTCTGCAGGGAAGAGGCGGCTAAAGGGTGAGGGGAGAAGTACCTGATGTTGTTCAGAAATTATTATTATTAAGGGTTTCAGTTGATTTAAGAGGTATCAATTTTTGTACTTGCACTGAGAGATAATTTAATGTAGTTGAATTTTTGTGGATGTTTAGGGATTTTTTTTCACATACTGAACTACGGAAATTCGTACGGGAGAGACGGGCAAAATGAAACAGTCAATAAACGGCTGTTTAACGCAATTCATGCAAAAAAAATTTTGCGTCAAACAGTCGTTTTTTTGATTGTTTCATTTTGCCCCATTCTCCCCTAATTGACTGTAAATTCTTGAGAGAGAATGAGTGTTTAATGGATTTCAATTGTTTTTATTTCTTAATGAACGATTAGAAGAATACTGTGGAGTTGATTTTATTTCTTGTTTCTCGTAGAATTGTTTTTCTAAGAGATTTATATTTTTTAATGAGTTGAAATTATGAGTATATTATGGATAATAATTCTTGCGAATGTATTAATAATCCATATCAATGAAATAGTATATTGTGTTACTAGTGCGTAAAGTTCCACTTTTTCACACGCACGTGTAACACATTCTATTTTTTGTGGTACCTGCCGAGTTCACTTTTCGAAACGGTAGTGGGGGTAATGTGGTTGTTTTTGTGCACGAGCGCGTAAAGTTCAAGAGCATGCGTAAAGCGAATTTCGAGCTTGGCTTTACGCACGAGAATTCACTTTATGCACGGCATGCGGAAAACTGCTTTACGCACACTAATCCGTTTCGAAAAGTGCACTTTTGAGGTAGGTATCACAAAAACAATATTTCTTCGAACAATTTTGAATGTGTTGAGATGTAAAGGAAGTACTCAATTTGGAATTTTGTGAAGGTACTACTTAATTCATTCCAGATTTTTTCTTTGACATGGTGTATACTAATGTGGATCATTGAAATATACAGTGGATTGAAAAGAAGTGAAAAGTTGGTTTTGTATTTAAACTAATATTCTTAACTATTAATTAAGCGTTATTTATAAAGTACAAATTTTGGGATATTCATTCCTTGGAGTTTTGATCGCCCTGACCTTTCTGCTTCTCAAGTTGCGCCCTGGAAAGAATAATCAAATTTACAGTTGTAACACTTTGGACTGATTTATATTTGTGGTTTTCGTTTTTTTTCGATAAGGGGTGAATCGTAAAATTTGATTCACCACTTGATTCGAGGATTTTATTGATTCTTTATTTATCTTGCAAATTAATGATTTTTCACATAAATGGGAAAGAGAAAATTTCAATACATTTTGACATGCTTTAATACCGACACAACATTTTTTTGCATACCGTGTCATTAGAACATGAGGATTGCAATTCCAGTAGACAAGATCTTGAAGACTGTCGGTGTTAATTAATTCAGTAGCGAAGCGGTAAACGATTTTGACTTTTGGTCAGTTTTTGATGAATATCTCGGAATCTAAGAGAGCAAAATTTTTCCCATGACCTGTTTTATAACTCTCGATTGGCTCTAAAAAAAGGTCATGACAAAAATTTGTCTATCTCTTTCGGATTTCGAGGTATTCGTCAAAAACTGACCAAAATCGATTTAACCCGGTTTGCCGCTTCGCTACTGAATTATACCTAGTTTTTTTTTTTTTTTAATAATAGGGGAGGGTTGGGGCAATATGGACATTTGGGGTAAAATGGACACTCAAAAAATTTGAGAACAATGTTTTTTTTTCAAAGTCCAAATTTTTGAAAATTGTGTCATTGGGTAATATGGACACCTGACAAATCTGTATAGGATGGACTTGGTTTACGGAGAAATCACCATAAACCAATGGAGAGAGGGCAGGATAACAGCAAAAAAAAATTGGTTTACCACCCCCCACAACAAAAGTTGAAAATAAGTTTTTTTTTAATTTGAAAATTGCAGTCCCGACTAGTGGTTCAGAAATTGAATAATAGTGTTGAAACATAAAAACTTGAAAAAATCGAAGTGTCCATTTACCCTTTTTTTACTTTACCTTACAACTCCTACGACGCAGTCTTATGACAATGTGTTTGTTTTTATAACCGTCAAATGAAGTCGGAACAGTAGATTTAATCCGATTCAACTTATTATTTAAATTTGCTGTCCATATTGCCCTAGCTTCCCCTATATTTTTTTCGTCAAAAAATTTCTCTTCATATATTCTTCCTCCAAAAAGAAGAAATAATCCCGCATTTAACAAACCACGAAACATTTCCTCGTACGTTTACGTTCTACCACTTCACTCTTGGACAATCTCTATAACCTGAGACAATTAATTACCTAAGTTGTTGATTGAAGTCATCCTCCACATCATCATCATCCCAGTTATCCTCCCAGACACTAATATCCTCATTATCCTCATCCTTCGCGGTCCAATCTGCCCGAAAAATAAATGAACTCTCAAAAATCCATTAAATGAATCAGCAAATTAGAGGTTAAATCCTCCAAAGAATTGAAAAAACAAAAAACTCTCACCTTCAGCAGGGAACTCCTCGAACTCATCATCCTCCTCGAGGAGCCCCAGGTCCACCTTCGTCTTATCTCCTTTGGTATCAGTCATTCTTCCAAAAAAGGAAAAACAATTTCTCACCCAGTATGAATGATCTCGGAGCTTGTAGCGTACACAATAATGACGACTGTCACGACACGAGTGAGCAATACTGAGAATTTTAGTTTCGTGGGGGTGTCATGACGTCATTATCGTTCCACCATACGATTTCGTTGGGTTCAGTTGTGTTTTTTCTTGAGCAGCTATCATTGAAAATACAACGAAGAAAGGTCACAATAAATCGTAATCAAGAAATTTCCGTCGAATCGGAATTCATGGCATAATTAACTCTATTAGTGATCTCATTATCCAAACACTCGAGTGGATTATTTTCGTCTCTACGATTTTAGAGTCAAAAAGTTGAAAAACAGGTGACAACTCAAATTTATTCGATTTCATTATACAAAAAGAAAGAAGATTAAGAGTGAAAAAAAGTTCTTTATCTGATTAAATTAATCTAATAAAGGATCGTGACTCCATGGAATTTAATAACTGAGTAAAAGTTAGGGATAATTATCTTTCCAGATCGAATGGAAGTGAGTATTCGATCAAAATCTGAATGATAAAAGAAAGGAAGAGGATAATTAGCTGATGGAGATGCATCATCAACGCACACCCCAGAAATTCCCAGTATTCGTGTTCCCACCGAACATAACATTTTATTTAGATGATCAGTCAACACATAAACAAGTGCTTACGTTGTATAATCCGTATGAATTTCCTGTTAAGTTCAAAGGTAATTTTTCTACTGACATATGGACTGATAAAGGGCTTCTGTCGCCCTGCTTGTTTACAAACAATTTTATATGATTTTTGATTAGGTACTTGTTTACTGTTCTAGTACTGAGCACAGCACCGAATAAATATAAAGTGGGTGACCCAGAGGGAGCGATAAAACCAAAAAACTGCATTGATATAGTGATACGACACACATCTTTGTTGCCAGCAAACTGCAATGTTGTTGATAAATTCAGAATACAGATGCAAGAGCATCCCACCAAACAGGTAATTATCGATCGAATTTTCTCTCAATAAATATTCTACATGATCTTTTCATTTTTAGGTGATAGGGAAGAGAGATGTTGAAGCAAGATTATTGACAGGCACCAATGACACTGCAGGACGAGGAACACCTGATCCTGATTCATTTCAGCAGATCCCTGGGACTGGAGATAGACAACAGAGATCTTACACTCTGTCATCACAAACTAGGGGATTTGACAGTAAGATATTTCGCTCTATTATCTTATAACCATTATTTCTTTCATTAGTGGAACAATATTTTTAGCCTGGAAGTATGCACTTATCGAATTGTTTGTTTTTTCAGGAGGAACAAATTACGTAGCACTAATTGCTGGAATAATTTGTATAATTGGATTGCTCTTACCCACAGAGGGTGACAGAAGTCAACTATTGCCCGAGTATTTTCATCTATCAGTCAACTTTAAGCTCATTTTCTCATTCGTGCTAGGTAAAATACCATAATCATTTCTGCTAACTTTGAAAAATTGAATTAATACTGGTTATCATTTCAGGTATGGTAACAATAATAGTCTTGAGGTTGTGATGTGATATTAAGTGATAAGTGACAATGAGTCTTTTTCTACAAACATGGAGAACGCACAATTCAAGTTAAAGAATTTGTAATACAGAAAGGACAATTAATTATGCCGAGTCAGCGCCCCCAGGGCTTACGTGCAATTTCTCTCCGTATTATCCTAATGGTGGTTGTTGATGTACTTCATACTAGTCCTCTCTCAAGTCTAAATCATTTATACAATTTAAGTAGATATTTCCAGGAGATATCATTAATGACTTCTTGACTTTTAATACAGATATTTTTTTATTGAATGGAGGAATTTAGGGCCGATTTATTACCTTCTTTCCTCGATGTTTGAAATATTCCTATTTCATCCCTGAATTCATTGAGGTGAGGATGGAGAATAATCAGAGATGCATCTGCAATTTTTATGACAATTTATAATGGCTTTACAAATTAATAACAATACTTTTCTGTTGTTTTCAATGTTCCTGTGATGGACAATCGACGAATAGTCGTGGTTTCGTTTTGAAATTTTGGATTGGTCGAATCAAATCGCTCTTGTTTTGGCTTTTTGCAATTAGTAAGTGGGTTTTACAACCCCTTCACTCTGACTCTTGATGATGGCATATTTAAGACGTTCATTGTGAGGTTTGTAGTCCATCAGGACGTCAGCAGGTAGGTGTAAAACACGCCGGAGAGTGTCTCTGATCCTGGCTGTCGTCGCCACGTCTGATGATGTTTTATTCCATACACATATTTTGTCCTCCTAAAGGGAATTATTCATTTTATTTCATCGGTTTTACATATGAGTTCAATGCATTTTTGTTGATTTTTTGTTATCAGGGTGTCCAGCCGTCAGGGAAATCTGGAAAATCGGGAATTATCAGGGAATTACGACAACTTTCTGGAATTTAAAAATTTGAAGCTTGTTTTCTCCAAGTACCTAATTTTTTGGGAATTCATCTGTTGACAAGAAACGTTGTCCGGGAATTTGATTTCAAATTCACTTAGAAAAGTGGGATGTTAATATCTTCCCGTCGGATGCGACTGGGAACCCACTGTTTTTGCGGTTTTTCAATGGAAAATTCTAAATTCAACATTCTACTTTTTAAAGGAATTCTTGCATATCAAGATGGTTGAAATATTTGAACAATACTTATTTTCAGCAATGTACAATCTGCAAAAACACTGGCAGTTCCAACCCGGTCCGCTAGAGATATTAGCATCCTAATTTGCTAGACAAATTTTTTCACTGTACGTATTTTTGTTGAAAAGTTGACAGTGATCACCTCTTAAGGGGTGACCTCGTTAAAATTGAAAACTCTTTGAAAATTCCTTTAGCCATACTTCCTTTATTGCGCAATTCCCATCTGATGTAGATTTTTGTATTCCGCAATTTTCGTTAGACTCTAGAAAATGAAATTAAGTACCCATTTTACGCCATAAATTATGGATAATTTGAAATGGTCCATGAAAAAAATTTTCCTTTTAATGCATTTTTTTTGTTTCTTCTTGCATAATGACTATAAAAATTCAGTGGAGCAGACAGACTAAATCTAAAAGATTCATTTTTTCTCAATCCATTCTGTGCAATGGAAAACGAATACTCAATTTTATTTTTTGAAGTCTGACGAATATTGAAAAAAAATCTAAATTGGATGAAAATTATGATCCAAGAAAAATTTTGAAGGTGCAAATGGGAAACAACGACGAAAATTCACTTGATGGGTCTTTTCGCCAATCAAAGGTGATATTATTTTACCGACGTTCGCTTTTCAATTTCGTTCGGTAAGGAGTTAATGTGCATAGATCCATCTATTGCTCATTAATTATTAACGTCAGCTTATCCTCGTTTATCAACTGTTTCAACCCCCTAAGGTGAATTTCAATATCCCCACTCTATAGCCTTCAAAACGGAAATGCCGGTGTCCCCACTAAAGCGTCCTACTACGCTTTTCACCTTAGAATCTATAAATTGAACATTCTTTCATAAAAAAATGTTTTCTATGGTCAGGTAATTTCATCAATTTGACCGGGAAAAGTCAGGAAATTTGTTGAAACTTCCAGGTGGACAGAGTTACCCTGCGTTACCCTGGTTATGCAATAAGAGAATTTACCTGAAATCTTATAGATACAACAGCTCCACAAATCTCCTCGCCCACCATAAATTGTTCCCCTAACATGGCAAGTACCAGGTTCTCCCAGCACCGATCAACCAGTCCTTTTCTTAATGTTACTGCCCATTTTCCACCCTGTTTATTGGCTGAATCCTGTTAGAGCCAACGTTCAAGCGAAAAAATTAATCAATAATCAAGTTGTCATTCTTCATTGCTTGATAAATGTGAAATTATCTCGATAATGTGCCATTTGAGAGAAAGAAAATTTCATTAGACATTTTTTGTTGGAAATTATTCCAGCTGCAGGTCAGAACGGAAGAAATGGTCTCGTAAATCCACTCGTTTCCGAGATCATTGTGAAACTATCAGAGTTAAACTCAAATTAGATTTTACAGGAAAGATTATTCGTTATGTTTAACATTAAATTATCTTAATGATAAATGATTGATGACAACGAACTCACCTCCCACATGGGTTTGATTCCATTTTTGAATAGATGAAAGTCAGATGAAGCCAGAAGCTCAGAAGGTCTCACCAGGTGACTGTAAAGGCCCCAGAACTGCTCAACACTACCGAACCTACCGATTAACTTTAAATTTTCTGCGTAACGCCTATCACTCTGTTTTCCAACTGATCGTCTACTGTACCACAGAGCGTAACTGTACTGTAATTGATTATCATTTGGATTTATTTCTATTGGGGGCTGAAACAAAATAACAAGAATGCCATTCAATAGGTGTCAATGCCAAAAGAATTTAATAATTAAATTGTAAATATGGAATTATCTAGCTAACGAATCCCGAAAAAAATAGACCAAAGGAAATTTTTAAGTTGGATGGGGTTTAGCACGTTTTCGATGTGGGCTATTTTTTTCTGGTCTATTTTTTCCGCCTACCCTCGTTAACGAGTAGTTGCACGAGGACATGGCTTTCGACCTTTTTTATATAGTTGAGAAAATTCCTCGTAAAAACGTCAGTATCCATTGTTTCTCATAACCATCCATTAACAAGATTATTACCATTAATGAACCGTGAAAATTTTATTTTTCTCTGATCGTGTGTAATTTTTCTTACTCAAAGATAAAATTGCCTCGTTAATAAGTGAATTTAGGAGGCAATGTCTTCAGACTTTTTTACAACTAGGGAAATTCTCCACAATAGTTATAATAACGTTTCTTCCGAAACCCACTCATTAACATAATAATTCAGCATTAAAAAAGAACTGAAAAATAAAATTTTCCCATTTTCTTCCCTCCCTCCATTGAATTGTTTTCAAATCTTCAATGACACATTATGAAAATAATTCTCACCAGTCTCAACTTGAGTGCCGACTCTTCGTCTCCACTTTCATCACTACCCTTGGCTCTGGAATAACGATTATCAGCTATCAATAAATGTTCTTGTTTTTATCTAAAACTTGCTTATCTATGATTTGAAATGGACCATGCTGAAATGTGTCCATACTGAATAACCAAAAAATCGGCAAACTCCGATATCTGGGGCAAGTCGAAGCGGAAAATTTACGAGAATACTTCGAACGTTACAATTGATCTTCCAAAAATTCTATTTCAGTCAAAATTCGCCCACAAGCATTTTTCTTGACATTTTATTTTCAGCAATCAGTAGAATATTATCGTTACCCTCAATAAAAAATGGCAAGCAATCCTGTACTCACCCGTCGAATTTCTCTGACATATTGAGAGGTATTTATAAATACTATGAATTAATTAAACTGATAAAATAGTTATCTCAAGAGTTTATCGCTCGGCAGGTACAAGTTATTACAAAATAAATGTTAGAGTGAATGAATTATTTCAATTTATTTCGTTTTGTCTCGTAGGACTGTGTATTCTTTATTTTCACTACACGCCGTCTGTTTTCTCTTTTGACTGCTTCTCGGAGCTGGGGATATTCCATTTCCCCGATATATCACTAGACGGGGGGTAATGTGCGACTGGTGGAAGCAAAGAGGATTGTTATGTCCGCCCAGATGTCACTAGGGCAACCAGCGCCAATTTCAAAATTGGCGGAAAGGGTTGGCAGGAACGTTTGCAACTGAAGCCCGGATGGGCAATCCAACGAAGTCCAACAATTATCTCATGAAATCTCTGCTAAATCCTTGACTTGATGATTAATAATTATGAGGAACAGGTTATTTAAAATAAATCCAACACTGAGTGCTTCGGGAGAGCACGTAAACTATTTATTCAATCAACAAAACTTCAAAACTCTAATTATTTGAAAAGGTAAAAGATCTGAACTCTGAAAACTATGTCGTAGAACTGCCTCTAGATATTCAAAAACTGCCCCTCGAAGGGTCTTACTTCCCCTACTCTTTTCCAAAGTTGCGCACGCATCTCCTATGTTCTTACATGCTAATAGAAACTGAAGGGAGAAAGCTAGGCGACGTTGCGATGCAGTCAACGTTGCCTAGTCTCTCAACTTTGGGACACACGTGTTCCAGGAGAAAATGACGTTTCTCACAAGGAAACAAAGGACACAAAAGGAGGTCTGTTCATGATTAGTCATGGACCCTCTTGGAAAGCAGACGCATAAAATTTTACGATGTTTATGGCGACTCGAGAAAAATCAACAGAAACCCGATATTATTTCAGAGTGTTTATTCCTATGTTTATTTCAACGGTCTATATTTTCCTTTTCTTCCAATGGACCTCTATATTCGAAAATTGAAATAATGCATCGTTCTTCTCCGGAAAACACGTGCCCCAAATACGCAGTATAAAATAAAAGAAGGATAAAATAATTATTTAAATTCAATTATTCTGATCAGACTAATATTTAAATTGCCCGCCAGGTGTGCATAACGCCACCTAGTTACGAAGGGCCAGCGACATAACAGGATTGACTAAAGTGGGATGGGTGCACCTGGACACAGTCAACCAGGGTTGGGCAAGTAAATTACCTTAGGTAAATTATATGGTTTTTGACCGGTCATAAAGTAGANTTCCAATGGACCTCTATATTCGAAAATTGAAATAATGCATCGTTCTTCTCCGGAAAACACGTGCCCCAAATACGCAGTATAAAATAAAAGAAGGATAAAATAATTATTTAAATTCAATTATTCTGATCAGACTAATATTTAAATTGCCCGCCAGGTGTGCATAACGCCACCTAGTTACGAAGGGCCAGCGACATAACAGGATTGACTAAAGTGGGATGGGTGCACCTGGACACAGTCAACCAGGGTTGGGCAAGTAAATTACCTTAGGTAAATTACATGGTTTTTGACCGGTCATAAAGTAGATAAATTACCCGGGCGAGTTGTCGGTTTTTTGACCTGTCAAAAACCTATGTGGCGCCATCTATTAGCAGCTTCGGGAACTGGGAGATTTTTACCGAGAATACCGCCTGTCAGAGTTACAAGGGTAAAAATTCGAAAAAATCATACCCACTGAGGTTATGCCTCGCGAGGTTCAATCGTCGCAAAGGTCATACCTCGCAAGGGTCAAACGTGACAATCATAACTTGCGAGGGTCAAACGTCACAATCATAACTTGCGAGCGTCAAATGATCATTAGCTGTTGCAACAAAGACCAAACGGAATAGNTAAATTACCCGGGCGAGTTGTCGGTTTTTTGACCTGTCAAAAACCTATGTGGCGCCATCTATTAGCACCTTGGGGAACCGGGAGATTTTTACCGAGAATACCGCCTGTCAGAGTTACAAGGGTAAAAATTCGAAAAAATCATACCCACTGAGGTTATGCCTCGCGAGGTTCAATCGTCGCAAAGGTTATACCTCGCAAGGGTCAAACGTGACAATCATAACTTGTGAGGGTCAAACGTCACAATCATAACTTGCGAGCGTCAAATGATCATTAGCTGTTGCAACAAAGACCAAACGGAATAGTTTCAGATTATTTTTTCTTAATTCATGATCATTCCACCCTTGTCATTGTTCTGCCTTCAGGAAAGATAAGTTGAAAAATCGCAAGAGTTAAAATTAAGACGCAGGCAAGCAGGAAAATCACAAACGATCAAGAAACAATCACAAAGTAGGTAAATCATAAGGGTCAATCAGGATAACTAGGCCGTGACCTAGTGACCTGTTTGACCCTTGTGAACCTACTTGCTTTTTTTGTTTAAACTTTATGACCGTTGGAACCTTGTAATTGTACCGCCTGGCGTCCCCCGTTGATCCTCTTATTAGTTTCACCCTCCAGATTAAAGGATTGCTTCCGTTGTTTGACCCTTGGGACGTTTGACCCTAAGAAGGCATAACCCTTGCGATGTTTAACCTTCGCGAGGATAACCCTCGTGATCGTTTGATCTTGACGATTTCCGGCCGATGTTCCTCTCACTTTTGACCCTTGTGACTTTTTAGCTTAGCTTCCTTGTAAAGAGCTTTCTGACACTTTTTGACATTTTTGACGCCCCAGAGGTAAATTACCAGTATTTGACAATGTCACGTCATAAACTTCCATCTGCGAGATATGCCCAACCCTGCAGTCAACTGAACACATCCGCAACTGACCACAGATCTGGTAACTTCGGCAACTGAACACACACGTAAATACAAGAGGGTGAGACGTAGTGATATTGTCAACTTAGTCTTCCCGATCGACAAAGTCAGTTGATGATATACATGGGAGATGGCGCTGATAGGTTTAAAACGGAGGAATGAGAATTACTTGTATATAGCGTGAGCAAACTTTGGGAGATGACGAAGAACTATTGCAGGAGCATCAATAATCAGAATATTAATATGTCAAGCATCGTAAGAACATCGTCAATCAATCGAACAAGAGTGAGGTGGTCATTCGCTAAGGTGTATCAAAACAAAGTATTGTCCAAGTATCGTAATAAAATCGAATAAAAATAATTCAAAGTATTTTCACGCAAAGTATCGATAATACCTCGTAATATTATGGTAAAAGTGTGAGGCAGGTATCGGACAGAATATTAATATATCAAGTATCGTAAGAACATCGTCAATCAATCGAACAAGAATGAGACAGTCACCGGTCGCAGTGTTTCAAAGCCAAGTATC